CAAAACAATTCGGCGTTTGACTGCCAAAGTTTTATTCGATATTAAATAATAGTATCTCTATACCTAGCATCTAATTTTAGCTATTTCCCTTGGCATTTAAAGCTATTTTGAAAAAACAAATTCAAAGTTGGCGTAAACATGCAGTCACTGAAAACTGGAGTTTGCCAAATTTCGTATGACATGAATATTTTAAAAAACTGCAATGGATTCGCAAGCGAATTGTTAAGCCATGCACCTAATAACGGTATGAAAAATTCACACACGATTTCCAGCGACGGCTGCCAAATGACAGCCGAAGCGAAGACGATATTAATTGACCTGAAAATTCACCGTTCTTGTTATGATAACTTTCTGTTTAGATTACCCTTTATCATAGCTTATGGTATGACATGCATATATTCATAGCGTCAGCACGGTTCTTCCTGCCCGCACATCTTGCTCTTCGCCTGCAAGCAGGCGAACCCCAGCTTGATATATTATATGAGGTGGCCATTTCGGGTGCACAAAATGCCACCCAAATATTGGTATAGGGAAAAAGATCCTCTTTCATAAACAGCCTAATGAAATCCGAAATACTCCAAAACACCCACATATTCTCCTTTAATCTCGGAATATGAAACACAAGCGCCGACAGTGTCCAAATAAAGTCAACGCTGAAATGTGCTTGAAAGCCGAGTTTACCTGTATTACCGACACTAACTTGATAACCGCGCTTTCTGTTTGCAAGACCATGCAAGGACAAGCAACCATAACGGATAAACCTGCGTGTATATGAAGGTTTTGCAAGAGTGTAACAAGGCACAGCGACCCCCTTGATCGTAAAATCATTACCTCAAAAACATTCCCCTAAACAACGAGTTGTTATTTCCGCAATGAGTCGAAGTTTTTTGAGGCGGCGCCGAAAAAGGCAAGCCTACTGTGCCCACTGAAGATGACGCTAATCGTGCGATCACAATTTCAAGAGAAGCTATGGTAACCGGCAGTAACAAGCATAGTACAAGATATATTAGTAAATGACAGATCTATTATAGAGAAAGGTTTCTGGGGCACGTCGTATGGTATTGCCTATACGCGAACGATCATCTGTTAGCTTTCAATAGTGTTTGAGCGGATATTAAACCCACATTATATTGTCCTATAACTCCTGCCTTGATAAGGAACTAAATCGTGTGTTTTGCATGAAAACTTTTCCCAAAATGAACAGTTTGCAGCTACGCCTACTTGCCCCGTACCAGCGCCGGGTAATACACATGCGAACCATTGATCCAGGTTATGCAGCATCACGGCGGAAAATTGCAATCTACGGTCAGACGGTCATATTAGTACAAGACCATCAATGCTAGCTTCTGAAGACCGCTAAAATGCTTATAAATGGTATAAAAAACTGCATATAATAATGTTCAAGCCCACACTTGATAATTTCGAAATCATAAACTTTATAGTTTTGCGTGCATGGGTTAAATTATACTAAACATATAGCTATATAAGCGATTTTTTAAAAATACAAAATAAATCCATTCAGCATCTGTCTATTTGTTATACAGCAAAGGTTTCCCAGCAGATGTTATAGGGTATAGTTATTTATAAACGTCTTTATTTCAGACTAATTTAGCACAAGGCAATGTATACACATGCAGAGAATGCATGCATGCATGAAGTCAGGCCTTGCATGAACCCCCTGTTACAAGCACACTTCTAAAAGTAAAAAACTTGCCGTCTGTCTCGATCGTCTGTCTCACTTAAACAGCTCGGGTAATGGCTGTTAGAGAGTAATCGTTTTAAAAAACACACCAAAAACTTAGCATACAGTCTAAGAATTATATTTATAAAGGCATTAAATATATTGCAATATGTTTTTGCATACTTTGCACAGGAATAGGGCTTTTGCGGCGCAAACTGTGGTGGATATGTACTTCAATTAACCTAACAGGACACTTAATGTTCTTTCAAAAGACAGGAAAACGTTACCGTTTTATGTCCGTACTATCATACCACAATTGGTTAGGATCACGACAAAAACACAAGAAAAAAGTCGCGGGGAAATTAAATGGCAACTTTGTATACAAAGAACTCTGTATAAGATCACGATTGATGATGTTTCAGTCTCATCTGAAGGGTGACTAAAAGCATGTTTAATTTGTGTCCAAACGTTCTCAACGAAAGCAGCTTCTGACAATTTTCGATCAAGTCGATTTTCTTTCTATATTTATGCAGCAATTATGGTTTAGTTTGAGAGTTATATAATCATTAAGAATCGTGTAGGTGGTATAAAATAAAGAGCATGCATATATATTAGAATATCGGGCATGTTCGTGGCAAAATATCATCGAATATATAGGCCTGCAGTTAACCAAAGTCGTAAAAATAATAATTGATTTAAATCATATCAAAGAATGTATATGATAATAGGACAATGCCCTGTATGTATTTATGCAAAAAAGTTATAATTGTACCCGTACTCAAAATTGTTCCCATATACAGTTTCCTGAAAGTCGTTCTGCATAGGATCTATAAACATTGAGTTTAGATTTTAAGAATCTGGTTCAAATATATGACCGAATTACTTTATGTAGTGGTCACATGAAAATCTAAAGCTTTGTCAATGTTAGTTGAAAAACAAAGATGGCTATACGAATCAATTATAGTATTTAAAACCTCAAAGATGCATTTTTGAACTATTGCTTTAACTTAAGAATAATACAAAATTGGTTAACCAATGATGTAATACAATTTATTCCAGTTAAATATATAGGCTATAACTCACAGCTAAACTAGAAATCCTCTTGTAATACATGGAGTTACGCTTTGAAGATAATCGACCGGACAGGCAATAGAGATATGGGTAAAAATATAACCATGTTCATTTCATAATCAAACCGAATTACAGTCGTAATCGATCTTCGATTAATCAATCGTCTATAATGAAAGTGTGTAATTCTCTTTGCATACATCCGTTTCTACGAGCCAGCCTGGTTGATGTCGTGACAAAACAAACGGTTACCACCTAGCAAATTACGTTTTAAAACACCGCCTGCATGATAGTCTTTATTTAGTTCGATAGCATTTGTTCAATATAAGCGACCTTAGCATAAACAATACGCCGCGCTGTGATTGGTCGAGCACCCACTTAGTTCCGCGATGGTATATATAACGAGGGAAGATTAACAAATGAAACAAATCGCGTTCACTCACGCACAGCAAACATCCTTCAAGTGAACTGCAAGTGTAAAAGCTAAATAAACCTGTCATAAACAATGAAACGAAAGGCGACTGGTGAGTGTTGTAATATATCGTACTATATATATATTCATGCTTTTAAAAATTAACACATATCTGCTATGACAGTAGTGTGCATACATGAATTCTAACACGTCATTGTATATATAGATGGTAAACTTTCAAAGGGAATATTGTTTTATTGTCAACTTCCGACGTGTGACAACCTTCACAGCGACCTAGTCACGATAAGTAAATTTACAAGCCGTTGTTAATAGAGCCTAATGCTGCTATAGCTAATATCATATCATGTGATACTCTACTAATGTTACAACTTAAGTGAATATTCATTCCGTGCAGTTATAACGTTTACGTATAATTACATGACATTAAAAGGGAAGTCGTAACTATTTCAAACTATTAAATGCTGCCTTTAAATTGAGCAGAAATCCTGAGCGATGCAAGCATTCTCGATAGCATGCATGTCAATTTTAAATAGCCTTATACAAGCTTTCCCGGTTCTCAAGGTTCCTATTAAAAAAGTCTTTTAGTTTAAAAAAAATTGATAAAACTTTGACACTGAGAGAGTCTCTACTTAATGTCTTCATGTCTTCATATAAAGTCATTTGCTTGTTTAAATTTAAGGCAATCTATACAACTGTAAATTTTCTGCGGTTATTTTACGTGTTCCGCATATATTTAACTACTTGCAAGTTTCATAAAAAGTGGAATAATCTATCACTTTGAATATATATTGTTCCATTTTTTGTAACTAGGAATTTGATAGTCAGGCGCTCAGATGACGTTAAACGGAAAGCCAGGAATTTTAAATTTGTATATAATAACTATTATACTATCTATCTACACAATACTATCTGTGATTTTGGCAATTTCGTTCTGGGGGCGTAGAATTATTTAATTGATTGATTGCAGAGGCATTGATACTGCTTTTATTTACATAAGAAGATATATCAGCATATACTGATAGCTACATACATATATCATATAATATAATATATCATATAACATCACAATATATATGTATACATGAAGTTTATGATGCTTTTCAGGTAAACTCTAAATCTGACTTATGTAATAATAAACAAAAGTCTTTCACGGATAGGAATTTCAAATTATCTTTCCTTCTTTCTATCGCATTAAAGCTCATAATATACCTAATCAGCAAGCTTACCAATGGTTGCATAAATACTCTTAAAGATAAATACTTGTTCAATGAATGTAGATACTGAAAGTATAAAAATACTTCCAAGAAACATATCGCGGATATCAAAATATTGTAGGGCAAATATTTGGGCACGAATGTCTTCACAAACAAGTGTTGAGGCCGATTGGGAACGCTTAGCGCGGATAGTCCTCAAAATCTAACTCATGAGCAGAATGTTTAAATCAAAGCCTTGCAGTGATAATGTGAAACGAGGCATGTGCATTTTGCGCCGGTCTTTGGAAACCTGAAATGTACCTTTGTGTTCCCTTTCAAATACTCTTAGATTAATCGATTCCCGACAAATGTCACACGAGAATATTGGGTCGAACCCGAGACCTACCGATCATGTTAACTTACACGTATCAAATCAAATTTCGGACGAAAATGCTTGTGACAAAGTGTAATACACATGATTCAGCACATCGTGTTCCTTGTAAAAGTTGCGTTCAAATTACGAAGGCAGTTCAAACTTCAAACCAGCCCTGTGAAGAGTATTATTTAAAGCTGGCCCTATGCAACAACACACAAACAACTAAAGCGTTCTTTTCCTATCGTTCAGGTCAAGGCAAAGTCAATCAACTCGGAGGAGTGTTCATCAATGGCCGCCCTTTACCCAATACAACAAGGCTGCGCATCATAGAACTAGCGCATATGGGAGTGAGACCCTGCGACATTAGTCGTCAACTTCGCGTCTCCCACGGTTGCGTGAGTAAGATCCTATCGCGTTACCAAGAAACTGGATCGATCCAACCTGGTACAAGTGGTTCGCCGAAACCCCGAATCATCACAAAAGACATCGAATTGAAAATAGACGAATATCGTAACATGTACCCGGGTATGTTCTCCTGGGAGATTCGCGAACGTCTGTTGTTGGATAAATTCTGCAGCCGAGAAACTCTGCCTTCCTTGAGCTCCATAAGCCGGATGATGAAAAGCAAGCTACGGTCCGAGAGCCTCGACAGCGGCGCGCAATCGAACAGCGAGAACGAAGAGGACGACAGGGAACACAAGGCGGCGGATAGGGAAGACGGTGTACATCATCGAAGCGAGAGGGACAGAGAGAGCGTCTCCTCGGATCACGAGCAAACCACTGTGCCCAGAATTAAACAAGAGAAGGTCGAAGATGCCGAAGAGATGGACGAGGGGAATGAATCAGGTGGGTGTTTATAAGACAATAAAGGGTTGGGGTCCCACCGGACATCAATAGGGGTGTATCATAAGACACGCACACACAACCACATGCAATAGTGATCAATGCTCATCTGTATAACCTTCTATAAATATATAACAATAGACCTTCAAAAGAGGATGATAAAGGGCGTAGCGCCACCCCTCCCTCTTCCACGCATGTTAAGCGTTCTAGCAACATCGAAAAATGTAGGCATTGTGCTAACCAGCACTCACCATCGCTATATTTCGGACAACTTCCGTGCCCTCATTGACCAGCCATCAAAATAATTTATCGTAACTAAGCTACATCTATTCAAGACTATAATCTGCTAATCTGCTCTTGGAACATTGCCTTCTTTCGTCTTCCGGCCAGGCCGTTCAATAGATTCACCTAGCTCGCATGCAGGAAACCATGAAATATCGCGTTAAAGAACGTCGCGTGACAGAAGCACTGCAATATAAAAGGGTGTAGCCACTTTCGCTCGAGGGCCCAATATCCATTTCGTCTTAAGTACTCAATAACGGTGTTTAATCAGTTGTTTTAATGTCGAACAAGGTGATCTAAAAATACAATCACTCTTTGAAAGCACGAATACGTCATTGCCATTTAAACAGGGAAGTCAGCATAGGGTATATAGAATGGTGCCAGGGAATATAAAGGTTTATCTGAAACTCGCAATTTCGGCTTCTAGTAAAACAATGCCAAGAAATCCTAGGATCAATTTAACCAGCGCCTCTTTTCCGTATCTACTGAGTAATCTTCAAAAAAGTTTGAAAATAATTTCGTGTTGACTGCGATACACTAAGCTTCTTATATACAGTTTCATCAATCCAGTATAAGACGACGATGTTGCAGGAGATCAGTTGATAACAAACAAGGCATTTGTTGACAAAGAAGGCAGTTAGTGGCCAATTTGAGGTCTGGTGTTTTGTCTGCTCATTTTCCTAAACCTATCAAGAAATTAACGTAAGGTTTCTTGTTGTTGGAAAGAGCTAATAAGGATCTTTGCTATACATTTAGAAGGAACATTCTAGAACCGTCAAAGATGCTTGAGTAAAAAAGGATCTTTTTTGAGCCATTAAAAGAACACTTTATTATCGTCAGGGCGAGCTCAAATTTGATTTAGTTGAAAGAGAAAGAGAGAGATTATTGGACAAAATGGCAAACAGTTCACTATATCATTTCTCTCAAAACATTTCACTGAAAACTATGCGTTTAATAGTATAGTTTGAGCAGGTTTTTAAGCAAGACCAATGAATATTGTATTGCAATGCGATTAAGCACGCACGCCAAACAGCAGTTAAGGGCCATTTAGACTATACACGATAAGTTGTATGCAATTATCATCCTGACGATTGCAAAGGAGGGCTTATGCCACAATCTTCATTTATATTGATCAGGGTGGAATTTAAAGTGTTCGCACGTTCACATACGCCAGGGTACGAATCGCGTATATGACAAATCGCATGGTGTACGAATGGGCCTTGAGAAGACATTAAAATTAGGCCACAGCAAGTCTTGTATGAGAAATACACTTCGCAAATTTAAGAGTTTCTTAAACGAATTCGTGGCTCACCTCATCTTTGTCTCCGCCCTCACGATTATTTCCGTTGACAATAATCAAGTGATATGCCTTATCGCGATCACAACTTAGGCGTCAGCGAGCGTAAATCCTTACAAGGAAACGTCGTAGGTCGTATTGCCATGGCAACGCCCAAATAAGAGTAACTGCGTGGTGTAACAGTACAAATTTATAACCAATGTAATTACCTTCACTTTGACCACACACAACGATAAGGGATGCCGCTCCTTGTGAAAAGGAAAGAATATAGTTTTCTTGTAATCTGCTTTTGATGTTTTACCGCCATGCTAGGCGAGTCTCTCGCTAAAAGAAGTGCTTTGAAAAGAACAGGGTGATGTACGCGAGCCCTTAATACAATGATTAATTAAGAGTTCCGTTGAAGGTCCATTACCCGATACATATATCCGACAGTTGCCGACAATGATTTAAAGGACTTCATGATCATGCAACGAATGAGTTTCCACTGATTGCTATATAACTCTATATACTGGAGAGACATGAACTCAAATTCCTCTTTTCAAAAACATCACGTGAACTCTCACACCTTGCATGGACCCGAGGCTATTTAAAGCATCGAACATAGTGTTTTTTAAACGAACACGAGATGTTTCAAGCTGTTGTCAAGCCTGAGCAAGGTCGACTTTATCATTTGGCACATGCAGGAAATCGTAAAAGCATTCCCGACATGGAATAACACAATCGTGAGACCAGTCATGTGACTTGCGCGTGCAAGCTCTTCATTCGCGCACATGTTAAAGTCATGGTCGTAAAGTAGCTCACTCAAGGGCACCTTCAATCAACTATAAGTGCCATTAGGATATATACTTCATCAAATCAACCCGAAATTTAACTGATTTGCCAGTTAAATCTTCCAGTCAAAAGGGATACAATATTCCCTGTCGATATACACTATGCCTGATGATCTCCTGAAACACTAGAGTTGTGAAGTTATTATCTTCCTTTATTTAACCAACTAACCACAGTTGCATAAAAAACCAAAAGTAGAATCTTTCATTCAAATCAAGAGTTTTAAAATTTAAACAAAACTTCGTTTTTTCTTATTCTAGACTCCAGTTACTATGGCGAGACCACCATGGGCATGCGCTTTCACGCCGAGCATCTGATACTGAAGCAAAAACAGCGACGATCACGAACCAAGTTCACGTCAAATCAGCTCGAAGAGCTTGAGAAAGCTTTCCAGAAGACACATTATCCGGACGTGTACACGAGGGAAGAACTTGCTCAAAGAATCAAGCTCTCCGAAGCAAGAATACAGGTAAGATTTTTTTCTTTTTCAGGCGCTAAAAACATCACGTGTATTTTAGGCTTGAATACTCTCATGACTACCCGCTCACTGAGTTAAAACCAAAAGCAACCACATGCCTGGTCACCACCAGTAATATATTATGTGGTACCCTTCCTATCCCTCGACCCTCATATCGTTTCGGCTGCGTGGTCATCCAAAATTTCGGGCCATTGTGTTTCGATTTGAACGATATCAACATCGGATATGAGAATTACTGGCTTGTTTTGGATCCCCACAGAATGTAACTAGAATCCGCTACACATCATTGTCAATTAATAGTGAAAACGCAAATAAATTGTGCTATGCATACTGTCCGTAATTTGTGCATTACTATACACAAAATCATGAACTAATCATTAAATTAACCTTTTTCACAGGTATGGTTTTCCAACAGACGCGCAAGATTGAGAAAACAAGAACTACCCAAAACTCAACCGATTTCCTCGCCACGAATCATGCCCCCTGCACCCATGCCGTTCCCCGCCTTCTACTACTATTCATATCCCTCCATATCACCCTACCCTATCCCATCGTATCCACGAACGACCATGTGTAGCTGTGGTTATCCATGCAGCGGGAGTTCGGGTCACGCGCAGGTCGCCAAGTAAACAAACCTTCGCGACTTGTTTTGACGCCATACGCGCAACCACGTTTATCTCGACCAGCGGTCACACCGAGAAGCGTTCAGTGGCGATTTTTCGATTGCATACCGACAACGAATCGCTAAGAAAAGCTCCAATATGAACTTACAACGGACAAAAAGGGTTGTTAAGGATATATCATAATTGTTAAATAATATTTGTAATATATAATCTTGTATATAGAATATTATACCTTGGAGCCGGCTTCATTACATCTAATGACTGTATTAGATAGGGTACATTTTTAAATTATTCTTTGTTATAATTAATTATCATAATTAATTTGAATCCTTAAATATGGCTGCCTTGCGATGACCAACATAAAAATTATGCATACACTATATTATTATTTTTGAGAAAAATATCTCCTCAAAAGATTTCCATGGACCAAAACTTGCCCAAAGTAAAATGCAAGTTGCTAAATTACCAGAAGTCCATGAGTAATGGTTAAGTATTGTTGTATGCAAAATGTACGTAGTTCAGAATTCAGCAAAGCATGTAAACAAAATTTGTATAATTTTATACTACCTATAGACACCTTCGTATGTAGAACATATCGCTTTAGTTATCGCATTTCATGTCTGCATATATTAATATTAAAAAGATTTTTATATCCATTACTTGCGTTCACAATTTTAAAATACCTTCTGTACATTTATGAAAAAGAGGAGTGTCAGGGTGTCACATGTAAATGTATGCAATTCCGAAGAAACATTTTTGAATATCCCAAGAACACACCAAAAATCCCGATGTTCCTACTTTCGTTCCCAGTCTCACCGTTGCTTGCCTGAGCTCCGGTTTACGCGAAAACCAACACGGAAATTCGTGTTCTTGCACGTAAGAGAAAGTCCCTAGCACGCAGCGTGCTCACGCACGGTAGATGGCAGGAATGGATTTCTTACGTAAAAACTGTTACAACGAGGCACCCGTGATTACGTCAAAGTCTGCACAAAAGATCAAGATTCTCCCACGAAGACTGACACCACCTCGCAAATGTCAACACGAAACACGAAAACGATAGATTTCCGTACGAAAAATTGTTCACAAAGTATTTTCGAGAAAAGGAAGCAGTGGTGGCTCATCGGATCCCAACACAGAGCCACCTGGGTAAGCGTCACCCGAATTTGCGATAGGTTTTAAATAATGTCGTAAATTTGGCACATTTATCTTTTTCTTGATCACATTGATCACATTGAACAAGACGTCATATTGAACTTTTCGAGCCACGTGTAAACAAAACTCCGACAACTTTGATGTGACTGTCGCACGAGTCGCTTTTTTATGGCAAAAAAACTCTCTCTTCCAGGTTCCATATTAAGATCGGTGCCTTCATAAAACCGTAAAAGGCGAATTTTCGTACAAACAATACGAAAGTTCAGCTCGAAACGAGTTTGTTCGGTCCTAGACTGCTGGCCAGGCGTATTTTCTGCGGTATTTTTTCCCGCGAGAGGAAAGGCCGACTAACAAGGACGAGAATACATTGCAGCTATTGCAACTGATTTCTTTAAATATCTGAAGGCGTATGTAGACTAAGTTGTGAATCGTGTATTGTACTTGCCGTATTCTTTGCCTCGGAAACTGTGGAACATCCCGGGCGACTGCCGTTGGCGAGCAAGATGTCGGATTGTGTGGAATCATCACGCCGAAGAAATTGCAGGATCAGCTCGTTCACCTTATCTGGACATTCTAACATAACCATGTGGCCAGCATTCTCAAGCACTTCCAGTGTTGACCCATAAATTGTCTAAGTTAGAATGAAATCGGAATAATGGACTTTTTGACTTAGGGCGCACATGCACACTTAGAATTTTTGCTACGATTTTCGTCTGAATACCATGCATACCTCGTGCATGTGAATACCATACCTCATGCATGTGAATATCATACAGCTGCATGTGAAGTCATTACCTCATGCATGTGTCATGCATGTGAATACAATCCCTAATGCACGTGAATACTATACTTCATGCATGTGAATATCATACAGCTGCATTTGAAGCCATACCTCATGTGAATAGCATTTCTCAATATCATACAGCTGCATGTGAATACCATTCCTCATACATGTGAATATCATACAGCTGCATGTGAAGCCATACCTCCTGCATGTGAATACCATTCCTCATGCATGTGAATATCATTTCTCATGCATGTGAATAGCATTCCTCATGCATGTGAATATCATTCAGTCTCACGCATGTGAATACCATTCCACATGCATGTGAATATCATTTCTCATGCATGTGTATACAATCCCTAATGCATGTGAATACCATACCTCGTGCATGTGAGTTTCCTCGTCCAAGGTAACAAAGTTGTCATGGTTACCATAAATCAACAATGTCGCAACCATGAGATCGGAGTGAAACTCCTCGTTTCCCTCGTTCCACGTCTGAAGAAGCAAAGCCACGATTGTAATTTAAGTTCATGAACTAATGTAGTGCCCTTAACCAAGTGATTGAAGACATTCAGTTTCAAATTTACGGAATCATGATTGGGGATTTCTTGGTTTGCAAAACCGGTACGAACTTTATTTATTGAAATGAAAGAATTCGACATAAAATATTCATCTCACCTGTCCCATCATCGTGGCCCGAAGAACGTACGATGGAACTTCGAAAGCACCCGACGATTGAATGGTATTCCGAGACGTGTGTGCGTGAAATCCCATTCTGCAAAACGTATGAACGGTTTAATATTGTTTTTTTGATATCACTAGGTCATACGGCAGGCGCAAAGAATAGATAGGGCAGTCTATTTCAAGCACGTTACTCGTGAATTTACCTGCGAAACGACCAGACCACGAAGGGTTTTAAGCAAGCGAGGATGAGGGAGGGCAGACAGAAGAGCTGGCATGGTTGCGGAATTAACGGCACAGGTCCACCACCACTGATTAAGATCATCTTGGAGACCTGACGTGGTCGTTCAGACGCAATCTTTGTGCAAAATGAACAGCTGAAAAAGTGACAAATCTTGATAGTATAGTTTATCATTGAAAATACAAAATGGGTGGTAGAACTTGGTAAATTGTAATATAGGTCAAGACTTTTCAGAGGTTCAAGGATTTTCAAGCCTCCATATAGAGATCAGTGTCCCCTTGTTTAGCCCCTGATCTCAATACATACTAGGTATGCAAGGTTGATAAAGGTGGAATGAAAGGGTTAAAATGTAGTAGATTGGAAAAAAAATTGAAGGTGAAATCATGGATTTTCAATTATTTATTAAGTTAATTATTTTTAATAAAAGGTGAATAAAAATGTGTGGGGCTGATGAGTATAAAGTTGTGGCTAGACGGGCAATTTTTGAAAGCAATTTTCTTCTCCTGGTGTATGTTATTGGTCATATATAGCAAATTAGTTTCCTTTCTTCACTAGAAAGAGAATATCACCAACAAAACTTGGTTGTGTAGCCGCGGCTTTTAAAAGCAGAAGTGAGATGGATCTCGAACCAAAAGATTATCAGTATATGCATTGTATTATATATACATTGTTCTTGGGCATGTAAAGGTCTTGGGAGGAAGGGGTGGAAGACCACTAGGTACCCTTAAAAGATCGATAAATGGGTGAAATGGTATTAGATGATAAAGCTTGACAAATCATTACAAAGTGGGAAATATGTAGGGCCACATTAACCTGGTGTGAAACTTGCAATGTAAGTACTTCTAAGATCTATTGAATGTGACATTATCTAACTGAAATAAATAGAATAAAATAGAGAGTAAAATAGATAAAGCAATAAGAAATGGAATATTGTGAAAAATCTATAAATAATCCATATAATGATACTTTGAATCTCAGGAGAGTTCTTACCCATATGAATGACCAACTAAGATATTTCTCCTGTCGCTACGATATCGATCGAACACTGCAAACATATCAAGTGCAATTTCTGAGAATGTGTAACTCGATGCATCCCTGGGTGCCGAACTACCTCCATGTCCTAGAATATCTGACGCAACAACAACATATCCCAATTTTGTGAAATGCTCAATCTGTTCATTCCAAATTTCCGAACTTCCCCCTACTCCATGGATGAAAAATATAACAATTTTGTTGGTTCTTTCACCAGGGCCATGGTTATCATTCATAATGGTGAAAGGCTGATTCTCAACACCATTTACCAACCACGAATTCACTTGGAAAACAGAAGAATGCACTGCATTTCCAGTAACATGACTTTCTCCTGGAATGCCATCTGGATTTCTATGAATAATTCGAAGCCAGCGACCTTTGCGAACTTCAACAGTGTCGTCTGCCGTTTCAACATCAATTCGGTTTGTCTCCGAACAGCACATTGATATTGCATATAAAAGTACAGCTATATTCAAATTTTGTGTACTGTATTTATATAAAAGTTGTTCATAGGAAAAATGTTTAAACTTCAGGAAAACCGATCTCTTGTTGAAATAAAACGAGGCAATAAAATTTATAAAAAGGCAGATAAAATATCAATAAAATGCAAACGAACTGTATAAAAACGTGTGAATTGAAGCGAGCGTTCTGGTATTAAAAACCACCGTTTATATTTTCATCACTGGGTTTCTTCATGTTGGAAGTACCAAAATGTAATTCAAGTTCTTTCACATTTAGCTTTTAGTCGAGATCAGCATTCGTAAAGCCTGTTCTTTAACGTTAAAGCCATGAATTCGCCCGTCAATATAATGTTTAAAACTACTCTGTAACTAAGCGACAAGCTACAAGATCACTCAAATGTTGGCTTTTTATATACTTGTGGTTCACCTGTTCGGCGGCAAATATTGCACCCTGGAATGAAAAGAAATGTTCTTTTATTGCAGGGAGATTTGCTGTTGACGGATCGTACTAGGATCATTTCTTAAAACTTCGAAAACTTTCTGTTCAAAAAACCCTCCATTTTGTAACATTTTTTATTTATTTTTTTATTTTGCTACACATTATCGCGCACCAATATCAAGTGACTGGGACCGACTGTGCTTCCACCAGGACCACCACATTTCCTACAAACCTTGGTGATTATAACAGCTGCGAATATGATGGCCTTTGATATGGCCGCAAATGCTTCTCAGTTCAATGATTATTGGGAAATAGTAGGTCCTATGGCTATGTAAAGTTGCAAGCATGTTTCGTGCTCATATACAAACATTAAACAATATAACCATGCTTTGGTTTTAATATCAAATATTTTGATATGGATAACCACGCAGGTTAAATGGTCTAATTCTCGGGTGCTATGTAAGGTTTCAAGCATGTTTGGTGCTCATATGCAAACATCTATATAAAGTTGCAACTTGCAAGCATCAAATATGGCCGGAAAACGGTAAACTCGAACATGGTCAAATATGGCCGGAAAACGGCGTATGTAAACTTCACATAGGACCAGAATTAGTCTATTAGACCATTTAACCAGCGTGGTTATCAATGTCAAAATATTTGACATCATAACCAAAGCATAGTTATATTGTTTAATGTTTGTATATGAGCACCAAACATGCTGTAAACTTCACATAGGACCAGAATTAGTCTATTAGACCATTTAACCAGCGTGGTTATCCATGTCAAAATATTTGACATCATAACCAAAGCATAGTTATATTGTTTAATGTTTGTATATGAGCACCAAACATGCTGTAAACTTCACATAGGACCAGAATTAGTCTATTATACCATTTAACCAGCGTGGTTATCCATGTCAAAATATTTGACATTATAACCAAAGCATAGTTATATTGTCAATGTTTGTATATGAGCACCAAACATGCTGTAAACTTCACATAGGACCAGAATTAGTCTATTAGACCATTTAACCAGCGTGGTTGTACATGTAATTAGTGGAGGTCAAATATACCGGAAATTGTAAACTCGAACATGGTCTAATATGACTGGAAAACGGTAAACTCGACCATTGACCATGGTCGAATACGGCCGGAAAACGGTAAACTCGACCATGGTCGAATATGGCCGGAAAACGGCAAACTCGATCATGGTCGAATATGGCCGGAAAACGGTAAACTCGACCATGGTCGAATATGGCCGGAAAACGGTAAACTCGACCATGATCGAATAAGACCGAAAAACGGCTGAAACTCGACCATGGTCGAATATGGCCGAAAAACGGCAAACTCGACCATGGTCGAATATGGCCGGAAAACGGTAAACTCGACCATGGTCGAATATGGCCGGAAAACGGTAAACTCGACCATGGTCGAATATGGCCGAAAAACGGCAAACTCGACCATGGTCGAATATGGCCGGAAAACGGTAAACTCGACCATGGTCGAATATGGCCGGAAAACGGTAAACTCGACCATGATCGAATATGGCCGGAAAACGGCAAACTCGACCATGGTCGAATATGGCCGAAAAACGGAACATTCGACCATGATCGAATATACAGAAAAACGGAACATTCGACCATGGTCGAATAAAGATTAGAATACTCATTTTTTTTGAATGGATTAGTTTTTTTGAAGAGGTAAAAGTGACGATAGTATTCAAGATAAGATACGCTGCATATACTTGCAAGCAAAAAATACAAATTGCTAAAAATATTGCTTGTAAATTTGAGCGAACTAAAAAATATTCGAAAGTAAAGACTAATTACGCAAAAATTATTGGTGAGGCTAAAGCCCAGCGAGCCACCCTGTTCCGCAGCCATGTTTTGCTTTGGGCATGTATCATTTTCCACGTCAGGATATTCTTTACAAACTCACAGTTGCATTCTCGTACTGAGTGCAGTTGAATATATTGTCGAGGTTTATCATTCCTGTCCCGTTGCACTTGTCGCTGGCTGTCATACACCGTCTGTGCACTTTGCCCGTATCCAAATACACGTAGCTTAGATTGGTTTCACAAACGTAGATGATTTTTGAATCACCATTTGCTTTTCATTTGCTTTTATGCATTCATCGCTTCCACCGAAAGCGCAAAGATATTTCGTAGATGAATTCAAAACTTTCTTTATGTTTTCGCTGTTAAACCCACGGAAAGTCTCGACTAATATTGGGGACTGTGATCAACCGGACAGACATCGTTGATGCATGGGTTTGAAATGCAAGATATTTTCGGCAACCTTTGCGTAACAAACCCGTAGCCATGAAAACCACCTTCGACCTGTGTAGACATGGTCCCATCAATCAATGATGCCATTTATTTTAAAAATCAATTGCAAGATCGTTTAGAAGATGAATGATAAATACCACCTCCCCCTAATTATCGTGCTTTCTATTCTTTCTAGATTATTCCTAGATTATTCCTAGATTATTCCTAGATTATTCCTAGATTATTCCTAGATTATTCCTAGTTCATTCCTAGATTATTCTTAGATTATTCCTAGTTCATTCCTAGATTATTCTTAGATTATTCCTATAGTTTATTCTAGATTATTCCTAGTTTAATCCTAGTTCAGTTTCCCTATATCTTGTATATCAGCTTAGAAGAAACGTTGAGCGATGAAGGTAGCAAGGAATAAAATGGCGGTGAACGGAAAATCGATGCTTGTTGCTTTGTTGTTGCCTTTGGTGTAGACATTGTCAAGGGAATATGTCTTTGCCTTCGTGCCGTCTGGAAGTCCAGAGCACATTTCCTGGGCTTTCTTTATCAAGTTGGCATCGTTGGTTTTGTTTACGCTGTAAAAAATGTTGACAACAAATCCTTTCAACTATGCATGATATTTATCATTTATAAACCTGGAGTTAGGGGATATGGCGAAATATTTCCCGAATTGATGGTATTTCCGGAGGGCTTTGTCCTTGATGATTAATATTAATCGCCCTTGATTGATACAAACTTCTGGCTATGAAGATATTTTCGCTTACCATCCTACATTCTTGTAGCATTCTTGTTTGCTGAGAAAAGCTATAAATTTCGTACGGTCGTGAGAGCAAGCGACCAATGCAGATTTACACACGGCGTCGGCAACTTTATTTTCACACTCAGGATCAGAAAGATCGGCGTTCTTCACAATCTTGTGTTGAGCCACGATCGTGTCTGCTGCCATTTGCACAGATGTTGCATTTAAGGCAAACACCTACAAATGAAGAATGATTTATTATACAATATGCCATAAAAACATTCTCTCCATTCCGACATTGTAATGTGAAACAGGGCCTCTTTATGATATTTGTATATTATTATCATTGTCTCTAGCCCAAATATCTTTATTATAATACGTATATTCATATCAATAATTGTTATGTGCATGGGAAAAACCAATAAAAAATAAATTATCTTGGGTCGATAGACACGAGGTCATAATTTATCGTGGTTGGTCGTGGCGATCTTTTTGCCACGTGACATCCGCCTACGTCACTGGTGCATCATGGGGTGGGTATATAGCGACTAAAAAATGCGTGTCTAAAATGTATAAAAATATGTCGATTGTCAAAGTGAATATTGCCACTTAGGCCTGGCTACGTTTCATGATCACTAATTCTATAATTAATCACGATTTTCCGCAGTTACAATTGCAATGCCCGGCTTTTAGACTTGGTTTTTATTATACTTAAACGAAACAGCCCTTTGATCACCCACCTTATAGTTTCCCTCACAAGAGTAGGGATCATTTTTCAGTTCGGGAAATGGAACGCACGTTGCCTTACGAGGAAATCGTTGCTTTAAGGCCGGATTATCGGTGACATCAGAGCAGTTACTATGCAAGCTAGCAGGGCATTCCTTTCCGGCTGCTTTACAAGTAGTTGTGAGTTCGTCAACGTTGGCTCCGATAGAATCCTCGTCGCAATGGAAGGGATAGCCCAGTTGGCAAAAATACTTCTTGTAGGCGTCCCTGCACGTTGCATTAGCGCCCACCATGGCTAAAGTCTTGTTTATGATTGGAATAAGGCCGCGGATAAACGATAGATCGGGTGCGTTCGGAAACCCGCTGAAATCTGGCATCTGGTAGGTTACAATTCCAGCGCACGTATCGTTGCTGGGAATAATCTTCGAGGCATCTTTACAAGGAGGAATCGTTTCAGTGATATCAGCAACAACATAGCCATTCTCTGCCGCTAGTGTTGCTTTAAAGCCGATGGAGATAAAAATAAATGTGGATACAATCGAAAACATTGCTGCGTTTAGTGTGAACCTCGCTCCTTTGGGATTATACTACAAGAATAAATGTTTGTCTTCGTGAAGCTCGGTATGACTAAATGATTTTCATCCTGTGACGCCCTTTGATTTGCATTTTACATCAAAGTAAAAATGTGCGGCATCAGACTTCCATATCAATAGCAATATCAATGCCGGCCAAAAAAGCTCTAACGATTATTTTATCCGTTCTAAAAATGCCAGGAAAGCAATAAGTATGTGCACACGGTGACGGACTTTTCGAGTGTTTTTGGTTACAAACATAATTTAACATATTATTATTGAGCATATTTCCTCTTGGATCGTGTGGACAGGATGTGAAAACGATAAACTACAGCGTGTATAACAGAAAAAGGAAACCTTTCGATATTGAAATGACGTTTACACAAGATTGTCCGCTCCTGGGAATTTGAAAATAACTTTCAATATAGGATAAGAAAAAATGACTAAGCACAAATGACTAAGCACAAAAAGGACCTTTAGAAATCACCGGACAATTGATGTAATACTTTGAATTCTGGAGCACTTTGCTAAGCCCATAATTGCGTAACATGTGATATACGTACAGTATGCATGCGTGGATGTTCTAAAGGTCTGTTCACACGATGCAATTTTGTTGGATCCAATTCACTTTTGACGTATGAAATATAGTCGGTTATTGATAAAGCAGTACTGCATTGGCTTCAGTGGAATTGCTGCTTATATACATAACAAGACAACAGACTATAAAGCATCCATCAGAAGTCAATTGGATCCAAAAAATTGGATCGTGTGAACAGACCTTAAAAGGTTCAAAACATGAACAAATATTTGTTCATTAAAAGTTAATTATTAACGCAGCGTGCGAGTGATTAGGGGCTGTTTATATAAGTGAAGATGGACTTTGAATCCAGACTGGCTTTTGTTTAAGTTACGGCTCGTTGCTTCATTCAAATATTTTCCCACGTTTTTCGAAATTGTACTTTTTACTGCTGGATTCCGATCACGAAAGCGTTCTCGAAAAACGTTTTGCACCGCAGTTATACTGTGAGTCTGGATATAAGTTTCTAAGACTACAAAAGCTCTTTGCTTCGAAGTCAGTTGAACCATTTTTGTACTGACAGTATGCTTAGTCATTGAAATATTTTTGGGTCGTTATTTTTCCTTATGCTATTAAAAGTTATTCTCAAATTCCGAGGACTCAGGAAATCTTGTGTATAAACGTCATTTCAATTTCTAAAGGTAAAGGTCTCCTTTTTCTAATGTTTGCCGGCACGCTTTTTCTAATATGTGCAATTGAAAAGGCATTCAAATTTTAACAATAGCTTGATTTCTAAACGAGGGCAATGCTGCCATGTCCCAAATCGCAGACTTTGTGTCGTTGGTTGATTATCTGACTATGAAAAATTCACTTATCACTGTCGAAAAAACTTATTTTTTTTACCCACCAGTGGAAGTGTTTTCAAAATCAATTATTCCATTTATTTTTACCCCCTCCCCCCAATTATCGTGCGTTCTACGCCACAGTTTCTTTGATAGATGTAATTATTCTTTCATGGAATTTATTAACACCCTCAGATTGAATTGCAACACACACCCAATTTTGTTAGTGTTCAGGCTACCAATAAAAAGTCGAGCAGCCGAGCACGGAAGAAATTGGTACGCGGGTACACATTTTAGCCGTGCTGTGCCGAGAAATTGAGCGTAGCGTAAACAGGGGGCATAAGTTGCAGGGTGGGTAGATTAGTGAGAAAAAAAGCTACTGAAACATTGTTGTGGTCGGCCCTTTTATTTCTTTGTTTAAAACGAGGAAAACAACGATTATGATAATAATATTTGGCTAATAAAAGTAATCTGGCAACCCTGATTGTTGTTAGTTGTTACTCTTTACGAAGAACGTCAATTTATTCCTAGATTATTCCTAGATTACTCCTAGAATACTCCTAGATTATTCCTAGTTTATTCCTAGTTTATTTCCAGTTTATTCCTAGATTATTTCTAGTTTATACTTAATGTATACATATATTCAGTATTGCTAGTTTTTTCCTAGTTTATTCTTAGTTTATTCCTAGTTTATTCCTAGTTTATTCCCAGTTTATTCCTAGATTATTCCTGTTTTATTCCTAGTTTATTCCTAGATTATTTCTAGTTTATTCCTAGACTATTCATAGTTTATTCCTAGTTTACATATTTTTCTTGTATATTAGCTTAGAAGAAACGTTGAACGATGAAGGTAGCAAGGAATAGAATGGCGGTGAACGGAAAGTCGAGGCTTGTTGCTTTGTTGTAGACATTATCAAGGGAATATGTCTTTGCCTTCGTGCCGTCTGGAAATCCAGAACACATGTCCTGGGCTTTCTGTATTAAGTTGGCATCGTTGGTTTTGTTTACGCTGTAAAAAAGCAGACATTCAACAAATTCTTACAACTATGCATGATATTTATCATTTATAAACTTGGAGTGAGGGGATTCGGCGAAATATTTCCCGTGGTGATGATATTTCCCGAGGGCTTCGTCCTTTATGATTGATTGATCACCCTTGATTGATACAAAGTTCTGGCTATATTATCAAACAATTATACCTCATATTCGTTTTTCATTACCAGAAATCTTGGTCGCATATAGACGCATAATATGATAATTACACACAGCTGATTAATGTTGTCCTTATAAAACCTTAAAGCTGATGTCCAGTCGTAATATTAACAAACTCTTTGTCTACAAACCTTTAACATTAAGCAGCTATATTTTTTGAAATACGAAAAACTATCTATCTCGCAAATAATTGCGTTTCTAAGGGTTTAAATGAATACGAGTTACAATCAGTGTCCGGAAAAATCCGAAAAATTCTAAGCATGATCTGCATTTTAATGAGCAGAACTGACAGGCAAATGCGACTGGTATGAACTACAGGCACGTAAAGAATAATAGCTTATGCCTATTTTTGCTGAATAAGGCCTTAATTTTCTGGAAAAAGTATGTTTTTTCGTGAAAATCTTCTATATTACTCCAAGAATTATTGCTAAGTTCCCAACATGGGTCTATTTAAACATGGGTCTACATAAGAAATAACCCAAAATCAACGTTTCGAGAGGGCAACCCTGATATCGAATTACCTGAATAATTATGGGAAATATGATACGTTCTTTGTTTCGGAAAGCTCGGCAAAACAAAATTCATGTGGTGTTTCCACAAACAAACGTCCAAAAGAAAAATATGATGTTACTCATCAGTCGCGCCATCGTGTCTGGGAATTTGTTGGTTTATAAATTACTGATGAATACGTATTTGTTCACAGGATCGAATTTTAAACATTGCAAAATTATACAAATCCAAGTGTTAACAACATATGAAGATATTTTCGCTTACCATCCTACATTCTTGTAGCATTCTTGTTTGCTGAGAAAACTTATAATTTTCGTACGGTCGTGAGAGCAAGCGAGCAATGCAGATTTACACATGGCGTCGGCAACTTTTGTCTCACACTCAGCATCAGAAAGATTGGCGTTCTTCACAATCTTGTGTTGAGTCACGATCATGTCTGCTGCCATTTGCACAGATGTTCCATTTAAGGCAAACACCTACAAATGAAGAAGATTTATTTAATTTAGTAAAATATGCAGTAAAAACAAGGTTTTTTTAAACGTTTGGCCAATGGCCATTCTCTCCATTCCGACATTTTGAAATTGTAATGTGAAACAGGGCCTCTATGATATTTGTATCTTCTTATTATTGTCTCTGGCACAAATATCTTTATTATAATACGTATTCATATTAATAATTATGTACATGGAAAAACTAATAAAAAGAAAATTTATCTCGGCTCGACAGAGACGTGGTCATAATTTGTCGTGGCAAGTGGTCGTGGCGATCTTTTTGTCACGTGACATCCGCTTACGTCACTGGTGCATCATGGGGTGGGTATATAGCGACAAAAAAATGTGCCTAAGACTAAGAGTTTCTAAAAATATGTCGATTGTCGAAGTGAATATTGCCACTTGGCGACCGTTTCACAAACACTAAACGATTTTCCGCACTGACAATTGCAATGCCCGCCTTTTTAGATGGTATTATATAATAATAGTTAAACTGTGGTTAAACGAAACAGCTCTTTGATCACTTACCTTATAGTTTCCCTCGCAAGAGTAGGGATCATTTTTCAGTTCGGGAAATGGGACGCATGTTGCCTTGCGAGGAAATCGTTGCTTTAAGTCCGGATTATCAGTGATAATAGAGCAGTTTGTATTCAAGCTAGCAGGGCATTCCTTTCCGGCTGCTTTACAAGTAGCTGTGAGTTCGTCAACGTTGGCTCCGATAGAATCCTCGTCGCAATGGAAAGGATAGCCCAGTTGGCAAAAATACTTCTTGTAGACGTCCCTGCACTTTGCATTAGCGCCCACTTTCTTTAAACTCTCGTCTATGGTTGGAATAAGGTTGCGGATAGACGATAGATCGGGTTTATACTGAAACTTGCTGAAATCTGGCATCTGGTAGGTTACAATTCCAGCGCACGTATCGCTGCTGGGAATAATCTTCGAGGCATCTTTACAAGGTGGAGTTGTTTCAGTGATATCACTTAAAACATAGCCATTCTCTGCCGCTAGTGTTGCTTTAAAGCCGATGGAGATGAAAATGAATGTGGATATGATCGAAAACATCGTTACGTTGTGAATGAACCTCGCTCCTTTGGGATTACACTGCAAGAATAAATGTTTGTCTTCGTGAAGCTCGGTAGGACTAAATGATTTTCATACTGTGACGCCCATTAGCTTTAATTTGCATGCCGGTAATTACATCAAAGACAAAGTGAAAATATGCGGCATCAGATTTCCATATCAATAAAGATAGCAATGCCGGCCAAAAAAGCTCTAACAATTTATTTTAACCGTTCTAAAAATGCTAGGAAAGTAATAAGTATGTGCACACGGTAACGTTTTCGAGCGTTCTCGGTTACAAACACCGTCAATTTACAAAATGATAATTTAACATATTATTATTGAGCATATTGGATTGAGTGGACAGGATGTGAAAACGATAAACTGACTATAAATAAAAACGATTTGAAAACGCTCAAATTATACGACATCCGTGTGCACAGAGCCTAAAACTTCATCTTTGTCTTTAAAGTTATTATAGCTTAGTCTTTTTACGGCAAGAAATTTATTACATTGATCATATTGACAGGCAACAAAACAATCATAAAATAACTAATTCTTACAGGTAATTATATATTAAGCATAGCAGTTAAAAACAAAACTATCCTTTATCGCAAATTTCACTCGATTTTGTCGTATTTCGTTTACTTCATTTGATGGGATAAAGCAAGTTTTCTGGGTAACCTTACGAGTAGAAGTTTTAGGAAAATAGACAAATCCTTTCGACGCTTCGTCCCTCATATGTTGTAATGTCAATATTGCTGCATATTTTATAGCCTGGTTCACATATGCCTGGGGTAAGCCTGTGACGCACCGCAGGAAAATTGTGCATCCATAAAGTATTTTTAAACTTCGGCTTTAGAGCTGCTTCTGGTTGGCTGTGCACAGCCTGTATTACGCTCAGGCTACTTTCCACCCACTTTTGCATTTTTCATACGCATGTAAATTTGTTTAAAACTACTCTGTAACTAAGCGACAAGCTACAAGATCACTCAAATGTTGGCTTTTTATATACTTGTGGTTCACCTGTTCGGCGGCAAATATTGCACCCTGAAATGAAAAGAAATGTTCTTTTATTGCAGGGAGATTTGCTGTTGTTGGGATCGTACTAGGATCATTTCTTAAAACTTCGAAAACTTTCTGTTCAAAAAACCCTCCATTTTGTAACATTTTTTATTTATTTTTTTATTTTGCTAAACATTATCGCGCACGAATATCAGGTGACTGGGACCGACTGTGCTTCCACCAGGACCACCACATTTCCTACCCATGGAGATTATAAAGGATTAATTTTAAAAAGTAGAATTTTCTATGTTGCTTAACTAAAATATAAGCATGAGAAGTGATAATTTTTTAAAGCATTTCATCACGCGATAAAACAACTTCTATTCAACGCATTTTTAACTTTTTGTTCAAAAAAACGTGACTTGAAACTTTCAAACTACAATACACTAAGATTAGAACTAATCATTGGAAATGGTTGAAAAGAAAACAAATATCTACAGCTGTGCTTAGAATTCTCTTTACAAAATCGTCGATTGCTTTACATTAACCTAATAGTAGAAGATAATTGGTTATACGACTGCATTCACAGTCAGAGCAATGCCACAAGGTTGCCTAAATGTACAATGTGTTCTTTTATCGACTAAAAACGATTGACAAATTAATATAACTTTATAAATGCATGGGATCTTTGAAATTCTGATTAGGCAAATTTAGTCTACTTTTCCTCGTCTCTGCTAACCACTTCACAACTTTGGACATAGCAGTTTGATGGAATCTTTGAAAAAGTTGGCATATGTGAACAGCATTTAAGATTAATCTAACAGATAGAAATCTAGTAGTTAACTCTTCATGAATCTGCACGGAAACCAAAGCAAAGCCCTGAGCAAACCAGGTATCGTTTTAATTTTTTGTCCGAACTCACCAGAAACAATAAAACATGCTCAAGTTGTTATATGCAATAATTCTTCTGTCCTATTTTGTTGTGAATTGGCTCGCAGCAGGAAGTAGGTACATCAAGAACTGGACTATGCCCTGTATTATGAATAAGTATGTTTGGCAATTTAAAATACTTCTATAATAGCTAAATTTCTTTAATGAAAATAACGATTTATTAAATTTGTTCCATAGGAGTCTTAATTTCACTCTGATATGTACATTGACTGCCTTTGGGCGAAGACTGCTATACTATGCATTGTGTAGAATACTTGAGGGACCTGTGGGTATAAAACAAAGAGTTATGAGTGGCAAGTACAGCTTTAAAAGAACATCCCAAATACATAGTAAACTCTCCAAGTATGCGAATTTTGTATACTTGAAAATGCAATAGGCCTTTGGTTTGAACGAACTGCTTCTTTTTGACTATTTTAGCTAGCGAATTAATAATTATTAACTTTCAGTCTTAGATTTTAACTTTCGTAGTCGTAGCAAGATGTCTAAAATATATATATATATATATATATATATATATATATATATATATATATATATATATATATATATATTATTTCTAAAAAGTTAAAAAATATATAGCTTAATTTTGTAAAGTTACACGTCTGGTGCAAGTATTTTTATAATGACTTAATAATAATAATAATCATAATAATAACAATGAGAGATTTGCACACCTTAAGTCTTGAGATCAATTCATTACTTTCCCGTAAGAGCTTCGTAATTCCGAGAAATCTTTGAATAACTTGGCGTGTTGCTCTTGCTGCGAAACCAACTCCTGTTTCAGGCTTGAAATCTGAGTATTGAAAGTTCTTTCTAATTCGCTGTAGGCTTTTTTCTGCCGAGTCAACTCTGCTTGGTGCTCTTCTTTCATCTGGAGGTGTTTCTTGTCGTTTTGAAGTTTCTGCGAGCGAAGTTTCTTGATGTCTTCCGTCGTTGATTGCTGGCTCAGTCGTAACCTTTGGTTTGGTAAAATCAAAAAAATATAAATCTAAACCAACGCCAGTGAACATAATACATTAAACAGCAAACACACTAGCCCTGGGCCGTCGATAGACGCATAATTAATGAGGATATGCGTTATGGACACTCGTATTTTAGGCGTGAATCAGATGCAATGATAGACATTAATAGTTTTACTTACATCTCCAACTTGGTTTCCTGATTCGAAAATTCCACCTAAAGCGACGAAAGATTGGCGTAGAGCTTTTAGTAAAATATTTATAATCAACAAATGTTAAGTGTTGCCCGCAATGGTCAACATTCTCCCACCTGCGCAGGCTCATATTGTCAGCGGGTATCTTACGTAAAAATAAAACTAGTGGCTAGTGGCGAAGCTTCAGGTTCTACGTCTGAGCCGATGAAAAATTGAGCCCGCTGTACTGGGAGAAAACTAAGGAAAATGGTAGTAAATGTGCAATAAATAAATTTTAAAAGGTACATCGCTTACCAGAACCCATTGCAGAGCTTCTAACACTTCAAATGAAGAATTGCTTCCCTGTTGAAATAGAGGATAGATTTTGGTATGTTATAACGACACGAAGATTTTCTACAGGGAGCGAGGGTGTGCAAAATCCCTATTTCCAATGGCATAAAAATATTTTGTACATTATGGCGGAATGGAATGGTACCCCCCTAGAGAAATCGTCAACTCCCAATTTTCATAATACAGTATTTATTCCTACTTACCATTTCTTGCCCTTGACTTAACTCATTTCCAGACCCCACGGACTCGCCTGAACATAAAAATAAAAATGCACATTTATTTTTGTGGCTTGAGAAATACTTTTCACGTTAAATAGCAACGAAGAGCAATCGAACGAGAATAAGAACCATTCTTACTTGCTAAACTCAGACCGCTGTCTCTTCTTTGTGCGCTGCTTTCCTCGAGTTTTCCCTCGGGAATCGTCGTCGTGGCTCGTCGTGTCGTCTTTTGACTCGGTCGTCGATCGAAGCCACCGAAGGTCTCCCAACGTTTCGGCGAGCTCGGCTTCTTGTCCTGGGTTGCCGCCGCGAGCTCGGAGTCCGAGTGCGATTCGTGTATAAGTACGGTGTCAGCCGTAAGCTGTGTCGTGCGGCTGATAGCAGTGAGTAGGATGGTTCTGTTGGACAAAATTAAAACAAGTAATGTAATGCCGGTGAACTGGACACTTAATGAAGTAAATGAACTCAATGAACTCAAGAGCAATGAACTCAATACACAATGGAGGGAGAAATTGCTCATTCAACACACGTTAGATAAAATTGACACGCTTGTCTCAACAGCTCAAAGCTGATTTCGGCGGGAAACGTGAGGCGAATTACATCAACAAATATTTAACACTTATTTACTGCGAACGAAGGAAACGTTATGTTTTGTGGACCCGAGACCTGTCGATATTTCACGAGGCGAAGCCAAGCGAAATATTGATGGTCGAGGGTCCACAAAACATAATGTTTTCTGAGTTTTCGGTAAATAAGTTTTTTATTATATCCCACCTGTCAAAGAAAAACCAAACTACTAAGGTAAACAACGAAATATCTATTCATAAAAGACATAATTTCAAATGGATAAAAGTTGTTATTTCCCATGAGACAACACATCTTACTCTGCTCTGTGTTATCTCACTCCGCAGGGGGTCGCGCTGGCGACATCAAAATTTCGTCACTCTCGCGTGATTCGCTCTCGACCAATGAAACGCTACGAAAACCAAACTTTGACAAGTGGTATATAATAATACATATTAAGACTACAAACGACACATTACACATACTTAGGAGATTATTTACAAGAACATTTCAATAAATCTCACGCCATATTCCATAAAAATTCCGGTTGTTTAGGTAACCTAACTGTACCCTCAAACCTACAAATGACATTCTCACCTAGCTCTTTCGTTCGACGTAATTTTCTGATCATCTTTTGTCTAAAAGATTGATACCACATACAGTAACAGAACACTACAAATTTTCTTCAAAATATATTGAAATATCAAGAAAGGCTGGATATTCTTTAACAATTATAATCATTATAATATATACCCACCTTCCCATTTCCTTCGTTGAGCTGATATAGCTCCTGGAAAATCATGAACAAAATAGAATTACTAAGATAGAAGTATTGTAGATAATCGAATATTCCTAGTGCATATTCAACAGTCATTTTACAAGCGGGAAAGGAATCATTGAAACACAAAACTAAAAACGTTTTGCTAAATTTGTGTCGAACAACAGACATACACAAGAGAAAATGTTATTTCTATGAACAAACTACAGAAACATCGAAAAAAACACACCGCCATTTTTTACCTTCATTTCAGAAACCAGTTTATTTTTCTCTTCGACTACAACAGACAGTTCTTTGTCTTTCCCTTTCATGGTTTCTGAAACAGAATGATAAAGGAAGATTTAAATATGGCTCTAAATGGTCGATTTATCGTTGCATAAAAAAATTGCCATCGTCTCACCTAAAATTTCGTTTATTCGTTTCAAACGTTCTTCAGCTAATTTCTTCTCTTCTTCAGGAGAGTGGAATAGTTCGCCTGAAATTTTAAAAGCAATGCTTAAGTAATTTCCTAGATCTTTTTTTACGTTAAAGGTCAAGTATTTCCGCTAAAATCCTAGAGAATTATCATTCCAGTTGCATATTAGAGATCATAATAGTCTGCTTGAAGAACGTATTCTCGTACCAGTGTCTTCAGGAGCCTTGGCAATGGCATCCGTGATTGTTGAATACCACCTTAAACAAGAAAAACGAAAATTTCAAAATGGTTTCAAAATGGCTAATCCATAGATTATGTTTTGTGTTCTATTCTTCGAAAATGTCAGCTGGATTTGGTATTTTTTTCACAATATTGCTTACTGCTTCTTGTCCTTTTGGCTGCTGCAAACGAACTCGTACATATCTGGACTTTTCTTGCTTGTACTCACGAAATATATCGCACATTTGTCTACACAATAACAACAGAGGGAATTTTTGTTACAGAGGGCCAGCGCTAGAAGACTACGAGATTCGTCATTCTCGCGCGTTGTTTGCTTACGCCATCAGCCAAAACCCGTACTCGCCGAGTTTCTTGATAAATTTCGTATTCAAAAGTTATGCACGGCGCATTTAGAATATACGGGGATAAGTCAAAATAATCAATAAAAACATACCCGTCGCCACCTCTCGGACCATCAAGGTGTTCAAAGCAATGCAAGGTGACTAAAAACACAGAAAATAGACAATAAATCGTTAGAATTAACTCCAAAAATAACACCAATCCTCGTAACTACACGGATTCGCCTCGTTCACTTCTTAGTTACCAACCCCACCCCCTGTTATGATTTATGCTCACCTTTCCATCAATAGACAACAGACTGAATTTCTTGTCATTTTCCTGCAAGAACGCCACCATGCTCTCCAAAAGAACAACATGCGTTTCTAAATGGAATGGAATATATTTCTATTGGTACGTTCCTACTGCAAGGCTACAACATCATTCAGGCTCTTCTGTTGCAAGCAGCACTTCAATTAACCTCCCCCCCTCACTGCCTCCCTCCCCCGTCAGCCCCCCCCCTCACTCCCTCAAGCCAGACCTGCTTAGTACCCTCACCCGTAAGCTTTCCTCTGGCGTTCTTCCACTGCAGGATACCATCATTAACCATCTTGCTTTGATATTCAACAAAACGGCTGTTCTAAATGATGAAAGAAAAAGAACGAATGAGCGAGTTTGCAAGTTTTTAAACTCAAATACCATCTTTTTTTACGCAAACTGCAGCTACCTTGATCTTCTGCCCATTCTTTAACACGACGCTTCCCTTGTCCATTCTCATTTTGATGTCTTTCAGTCGCTGAAATGAGATCAAATATTAGAGACCTTAAAGTTGATATTAATGGCTGGCTGGCCGCATTTCATGTGAAAGTGAATGTCCTTGTTACTTTCAAGAGACCGGTTAAATTACCTACTTAAGTTGTGGTTGTAAAAAACCCCGCAAAATCGTGTACTTTCAAATTAAATTTAAAAATTTATAGACAGTTCTAGATTAACGTTCGCGGCAGTCATATTGCCAAACGTGTTACCGGTAGTTGTTCTTTTTAAAAAAACCAGTGTACCGTTTGCTAACAAGCCAGAAAAGTGTCACAAACAAGGTTTGGATATTCAATTTGCACCTAGGACAGTTCATTGTATTGATACAACGCTGAGGTGAATAAGCTATTGAAGATGCACTTTCGGTGTGAAACACAATATGAAACAATGAATAGAAACCGGTTAAGGCCCTGTTACACAGTGCAATTTTTTTGCAACTTGCAATGCAATTCTATCTTGGACAGTATTTAGGCGAAACATTTTGCAACTTGCAATGCAATTCTGTCTTGGACAGTATTTATGCGAAAAAAAATTGTTTACTCTGTCATTTACCCTGACGATGGACGCGATGTCCGAAAGCTTGGAAGTTAAAATTATTTAACTTATTGTCATTTGCCGGTGTCTCGCATAGAGTTTCAACACAAAATGCAATTCTACTTTCGGGATATGTAAATAAGTATTCAAAATTTATTCAAAATGTAAAGAGTATTCAAAATGTAAGTGTAAGAAACGTCCATGGCGAGTAAAGTTCAGTAGTTGTCAAATTCACATCTCTCAAAAGAAGAATTGCATTGCAAGTTGCAAGAAAAATTGCACCGTCTAACAGGCCCTTTAATAAGAAATGCAAAAGTTCTAACCTTTTGTTTTTGGTAATCTATGATTGCTGCATCCACTGTCTTCGTAGCATCCTATAAAAAAGCACGGGAATGGTAACTAATGACCATGAATGTGTAAAAGAAAACTCGATAAATTGTGAGCATAAGCGTTTCATACCTTAACCATTACTTGACCTGTTCGTAATCCAGCGTAGTCCGGGTGTGAAGCTAAAATTATAGTTAATTTGACACGATTCAAAACACACTATACGATTTCCTTCATATGTATCGCAATTTCCAAGCGTTAGTTGTTCGACGAGGATTTAATTTGTCCTAATACTGGTTATCACAGGACACGAGCAGATTGCAAAATATTAATTACAGCGAACAACTTTAACACGCCCCAGGCCCCTACCACACTGGCCTATCTCAAATGTGTTTACATTCTATATTTTATGCATGGTTCCATTCAGGAGCGTAGCCAGCCTGTCGATTTGTCCTGCAATGCTAATAATTTAGTTTTCACTGACTGTGAAAACAATAGATTTCTAAAGATATGAATAATTATAATAACTCGAAATTTACATAGCGGGACAAAATCGTCAGGCTGGCTACGCCACTGATTCCATTTCGTCGCAAGTGTCAAGGTGATGGATGGAAATGAGTGTTGACGTATCTCTTCATATGATTTGCAAACAGCAATCGCGCACACAGAAAAGTTTATTCAACTAAATTCTGGTGAATTTCATGCTCGGGATAACATGCTTACATTTTGTAACTTTGAGAATCGCTTCAATCAGGAGAGGATATTTCGTCATTCTCTGCGTTACCAGGGTGAAGCACTCGGGGACTGACAATCGACGGACGATTCGATGCCCTGTGCATTTCTAAAACAGCATAACAAAACTTCGAGATGGAATTCAATTTTATCATTCACAAAACAGATGCAATATTTCATGAACTATATTCCCAACCCTTCCTAAAAAACCTTTGCCCAATCCCTGCTAAAATAACACCATCTCCACTGACCTTGATGAAATTTGAAAACTTCTTGTCCGTCTTGAAAAAATGCTGTCAAAAAAAGATTTCCAAACAGTTTAGACTTAATAGACCAACACAGTCAGTTAAGATCCCCCGGAGGTATACTTATGACAATCGCTGAATGCCAAAGGTTGACGCGATAGAGCTACCTGGGTGAAACCGTAATTAAAACTGTGGGTAAACCACCTATTTGCACCGGCATCGCAAAAGCGTAGGTTCGATTTCTGCCGGAGGACCTATAGTTGACTCATTTTCCCATCAACTGTTCCAGGCTTGAATTTGAAGGGTGTATAATTCCACTCGAAATCAAGACCCTTTAAAAACCTCTAGAATTCACCTATTTTACCCATTAACCCCGGTAGCATACCTCTACCTTACCTTATACAATGCCACAGCTTCAGGATGTTTGCTGACGAACTCTCCGTACGCATCTTTCACGAGTTCCCCATTATCACCACCGAAATGTTTCATGATGACATCACCAATCTTCAGAATCGCGGCGTTCTCATCTTGACGACACCTTAAATTCCGGTAAAATCTCGCGCTTATCTCGACTAAATCATTAATTCTTGGAAAGAGTTCGTCTAGGCGATCCGTCTGAAAGCCCGCAAACTTGTTTAGACCACGGTAGAACACCTGTTGCATGATTTTCAAGGTCCTCAGATGATGTCCCTCGGTCTGGATCAGCTCCAGTATGACATCCTGTCGTTTGATATCGTTCTTGCTCATTTTCTTCAGTATTTTCTTCTCGACAGTCACGCTCCACGCCTCCGGTTCCTCGTCGAAATTCTCGAGATCCGAGTCAACGTCGAGGTCCATATCCTCGTTCGGGATTTCGACTTCATCGGGCGACTCCGCTTTCTGTTCGTCGAGATCGGCCGAGCCGACCGTCGGAGATTTCCGTAGAGGACCCGGTGAGTCTTTCGTGTACGACCGTGGTCTGCCAGGCGCGACTTGCAAGTTTGGCGCGGTTTGAGAGTGTTTTGCAAATGCTGCCGAATGTTGGCCAGTCACGAGCGTCTCAATTGTCGTCTTTCCGGCGCTTTTCGAGCCTTTACCGAGGCTTGTCATGGAAGACCGAAGTCCCTCTCTCTTGAAAGTCGGAGTACGGCCGGGCTTTTTCGGCTGTTTTGGGTTTTTCGGGTAAAAGAAGTTGCTCCATCGTCGGTTTCCCTGTTTTTCTTCTTCACGGTCAGTGATTACCTGCGAGATGGAGATCTGCTCGAGTTGTTCGTTACTGGCGTATTTCGATGCCTGCTCGAATTTTTTTACGCGACTTAGAACCTAAACGCAATTATGTAATGATTTTAGTAAGCATTAAGAGGCAAACTAAACTAATCGAACAAAGTCAAAGCCATTGAACTATAAATAAACTGGACACCTAACTAATCAAGATTTTTGCCGCCAAGATGGAGAACTATATACGTCATATTGCGTAAGCATAATTGTTCAAATCACCCGTTCAAAAATGTAGTTTAATTTTCGTTGGAAAAACGTTTTCTGGTTATAATATTTGTTTTATTCACAAGCTGTCGACTTTCCGAATCTGGCCCAAAGCTTTCACACTTTAACTCGTTTTGAAATGCACTGTCAGTGAATATAACTTACTGAAACAAGGGAAGGAATTTCGTTTTGAACTTATCGGCCAACTTGTTTACATTTTTCAGGCTTAGCTAATCGGAATGTCTAAGTTTTTAATACTTCATGTAGAATCCTAAATAGCGTATCCTTTTAACAGAAGTAAAAACTTATACATCCAATTTGGGTGGTTGAAAATGTAAACAAACTTGCTCATTGGTCAACAATTCCTCTTCTTTTTTAAAGGTTTTTTGGAAATAAAAATGTTAATTGATTCCATACCGTGTGGTCTTCACGAATTCGCCTCCGTTCCTCCTCCGAATCGTTGCCATCGTCTTTGGCTATTTCTGGCTCGACTTCCTTGAATGTTCTCAGGTCACCGAAGGATTTCGCTTTCCGCGAACTGTTCAACGGGCTCATGTCGTTCTCTCGCTTGCTCGCGTTCATGTCAAGTTCGACATCCTGCAATGACGTCACAGATATGTCACTTCCGGTCCGCTTCACCGGAGCCTTGACTGACAAGAGCACAGCCGATCTCTGTCGAAACTCTTCGTTGGAAAAAGAATTCCTAGGCGATCGTTCTTCCACCATAGGACTGATGGACTGGGGTTTCTCATCAAATTGGATGTGCTTCCCTGGGTCCGAGTCCTCGCCCGATTCCACGTCATCCGTTGCCTGGACACGGAAGAGTTCTTTGTTGCGCTCGGTATTCTGACCAGGTAAACAGAAATCTTTTACTTCGCATTCGATATCATTTAGATCTTTGAATTGGATTTTTGGATCTTCGCAGTCCTCCGCAGCAGTCTCGGTGAAATTCGTCTGGTCGTCGGTTTCTCCCGGGTAATCTTCGCACCGCTCCGAGTCTCCAAAACGGCCTTCTGGCGGGGTTTCAGATTTCGTCGCAACACAATCATCGGACTCAGCCAAAGGTAATGATTCTTCTTGAAGATCTTGAAGATGGTCTTCTTTTGGTGAATTTTCGACTATTTCTGGTGAATCGGAAGTTTCTTCGTTCGAAACTGTTTCTTCGTTCGAAAGTGTTTCTTTATCAAGTAAATCTGGAGTAGAATTCTCCGATGCAATATTTTCGTCAGGAAATCGATGTCCTACAATACCCTCCTGCTCGGCAAAGGCTGGAGCGACGCTTTGATCGGCAAGGTCATTTTGAAAGCCATCATCCATATTTGATTTGACGTCATGTTCTTCATTCAGTTCGTTTGGTGTCGACACCAGGTCCTTGCTAGATTCATCTTCTTGACTCGCTTCATCAGCTACACCTTCTTCAATGTTATTACGAACGTCGTCATTTTCTGCATTTGGATCAATAACATTCTCCTTGGACTTCATTTCGACATCTTGCTGGTCATCAATATCTTGCTGATCATCAATATCTTGCTGGTCATCACAAGAACGCGGATGACCCTCCTTATTATCACTAGTTGACTGATTGTTTATGTCTCCAGATTCGTTTCCGATTTCTTCACATTCGGGCTCCACGTCTCCACATTCGCACTCAGATAACGTGTCGTTGCCCTTACATTCCTGTTCGTGATCAAAATTTTTATGTTCGTGCTCTGTATCGTTTTCCTCCACATAACCCAAATCGCTATTTTCAATATTACTGCCCGCAGTAATTGCTACATCCTCACTACCATTCTGGCCTACATCTTCTTTCATTTTGATCTCCTCATATTCATTAATGTCCCTACTATCGACTACTTTTTCCCCCTCGTCTACACCGTGTTTTTCGGCTTCGTTATTTTCCGAGGTTTCTAGCTGAGCCTCGATATCATCTAAGTCTTCGATGCCGTCATCTCCCGAGATGCCAACATCATTCGTTATTTCGTGTTCTTCGATATCCTTGGCACTTTCACTTATTTCACCCTCATTACCCTCTGAAGCTGCTGCACCCTCATTGCTCTCTGAAGCTGCTGCACCCTCATTACCCTCTGAATCTGCTGCACGTTCTGACCCCGGGATCTCTTCACAGCCATTGATATCCTTGTCTTTCTCATCTTTCTCATCATCAACACCTTCATTATCCCCATGTGTACACTCGTGTCCACAATCGTCCCCATGTTCAGATTCCACATCACTCCCGACACTTTCCTTGTCGACGCTGCCATCGCTTATGGACGAAACAAAACTCTCTGTGCGACTCTCTTTCTCAGTGAGAGATGCCATCGTCTGTAGGAGACCTTCCCTAGAGTTTGCGGCAGACGTTGCTGACGCTAGCGATTCGTCATCGCTGACGTCAGCAAGCGCCTTCGCGAAATCTTCCAGGCTGTTACTCCGTTTGAACAGGGTATCATTCTCCGCTGAGGCAACATCCGCTGCTCCGCCGTACCACGTCCGCGGGCGATCCTTCCGCCCAGTGTTTGGTCTTTTCGCGACTTCGGAGTATTTCAAGGAAATTGGAGCGGGGGATACGGGCTGGTGGTTACACGAAGGGGTACTGCTCGCAGGGGTCATGAACGGTTCCATGGGGAAGGTATCTTCGCTGGATGGAGAGGTGACGGTGGGCGAGGCGAGGTCGATGAGGTTACCGACCGGGGGTGAATCCGGTGGCGTGAAGAACACGGGTTCTAAAGCGGTGGGGTCTGTAGGTTCAACTGGGTTTGTGGGCGTACGTTCTGATGTATTCGACTCCGGGCGAGATTTTAGAGTAAGAAGATCTGTATCAAAACATTGAATATCAGGTTAAACTGCTTAGAGCTGTTTCGCTTCTACGTGTTCAGGCAATTGTACTGACCTTTAGCGCCTCGTTTTCGTCGCTCAACTGACGCAGGACACGACAATCTTCGCGAATGAGCAGGGCGCCGATTCCGTTCAGCAATCATCGTAATCTTTAAAATAAAATGCAAAGACACATCATTACACGAATGGTTTGGGCGACAGAGTTTGGTTCACGCGAAATCAGGAGCAGTGAACAAGAAAGCAACTTGAACGGTAATTCAAAGAGAAATCGAGGGCGAATGCCTTTTAGTTTTTCTGACTTGAGAAGAAATACCAAACGCTAAACGCTGCGATGCATGTTTATCACGAGTGTTAACGTTCCAGTTGTATTAGAGTTCATCGTGCTGGCCAGGATTAACTATAAAAACTATGGCAAAATATACCACTCACTTCTTTCAAGGCTTCCTCGGCTTTCTGCGAACGTAGGTTACAGACCCCTTCTGTAATCTCTCTTAAGCGAATCAGATTTTCATCTAAGACAAAATGATGTGATTTAGCGCGTCGCTTTGAAACCTTGAACTGCTAGAGTTAAACCGATTGTAACTAGACTCAGGAGGGGCCAAGGCCGCAGGATAAGGATTTTTTCAACCTTTGCAACCTTGGTCTTATTCTTGTTTTCCAAAGCAATATCATTCTGTAAATGAAACTGCACTGAATTGACCCGTCTATAAACTGAACAGGTATTGGACTATGCTGAACTGTGGTGCTGCGTTCGTGATGAACTGAACTGCATAGAAATTGACTGAAAGACAAAACAAACCTAGGAATGGCCGTTTCTTGCTATTTTGTTCATCATTTTCACGCGTTTTGCTCAGTTCCATTTCCAAATCGTCAATGTAGTTTTCGTCTATAAGAGAATGAGAAAATATGTAAAATGTTGCAAGCTGAATTAAAGCCAAATATTAAACCGTAAAAACACTTTACCTGGATGAAACGATTGTATTTCCACTGGCCACGAATGTCTGTTTACCGGCGTGTTCGACTGCTGCAAAAAGATAAGGGTGTTAGAGTTATCGCATATTCTAAATAAGGTCGAACATAACATGAAATAGAGTTTTCAAAAAAAACATTTTAAATATGGTACGTCAGACGACATGTTATTAAGGAGCTTTAGCAGTGACTACGAGTTCGGGAACGAAATTCGTTATTTTCGCACCAAAACTCGATGGTTTTTTGCTGACGCCATGATGACGTTTCAAAACGCCCTCTGACGTCTGATGACGTAAGCAAACAACGCCGAATTTTGCGCCAAATAGCGGATTTCACACTTGCAGTCACTGCTGGAGATAATTTTCACAGGCAGATCTAAAATCCTGAGGCAAGAGCGTTTCAAAAGTCATTTGGCGTTTTATCACGTGTGCACCTACCTTGGATTTGAGTTTGTTTAGTTCTCTTAGGAATTGAATATCATCTTGAATGCTGTGATTTTTGAGATTAGTGATTGTCGTCATTCCATTATCGTTATTTCTTTTCACTTTACGCTTGCAATTATCTTTGAAAGTTCCGCTCTTCCGCTGTTCCGCATTTCTAAATGATTCAAAAACCGGGGGTGGATTAAATAGAGGTGTAGACCAGCACGAAGAGCACCCCCCATCCGCTGCATCTCACAGGCGATGCAGGAAGGGTTCTAAGAGTTTTATATCAAATCCAAGTGATGAATTTGATATGACAATGGTAAAATGCTTCAAATTAGGAATATTTTTAAAAAATTAAAATTAATAAAAAATTTGTTATTGCGGAAAATGCAGTCTCGCGATTTTTGAAAATTTCCTCCATTTTTATATTGCGTGCTGAAACTGTTGTTACTCTCAATCTAAAATCGCAAGAGTTTCCGGGCGAAGTAAAAAGCGAAAAAAATTCCCAGGCCAAAAATTGCAATTTTGATAATGCTTTTCCGGGAGTAAAATTTGTTTTGCCAAGATATATAATTTGTCGATGATACAAATTACTAGCTTTGACCAAACATAAACAGTATTTTGGGCAAGTGATTTTTATTATAGTTAGAGAATGGTTTCTCTGGAACCTATCCATTGTTACCTCTCAGTGTCCAAAAGCTCCACTATGTCCAGTCTCCCGCTCTCTCGCGCGACGTCCCGCGGTAGCAGACCAGACTTGTTCCAAGTCGACAAAGCTTGTTTAGCTCCGGGCAGGTTGAGAAAGACATTCATGAGTTCCTTAAGGCCGTGGTGGGCGGCGAAATGAAGTAGGGTTTCTTGACATTCGTTTTCTAGTTAAAGCGAAAATATATATTTTGTATCATATAATATGCAGTTTTTATTGGCAAATCCGCCAGATTGTTAGAAAAGCGATACTAACACATGTGCGATTATTCATGATAATATAACACATGCGATTATCGTGTTTGATCCAACAATCAGGAATCAGGTATACGTGCCCTGGGGGATAAAAAAACTTTAAAAAAAAAACAGTTTAAAAAATTAAACTATCTTATTTCTCGTGTTGAGAATAGTATCTCACTCGTTCGCAGCGCTATATAATTCAATTCTCAAATGTAATCCGGACGTTTGGCTGAAAACAATTTGTGGCAAATCGTTATATTCGATATTGATGACGTAGCAACGTGGAACTTAGATTGAGCAAATCTGAAAAATCTAAATGGGAAATGTAGTAAAACGTGGAAAGCTAAGCCTAACAAATGCTTGTATATATTTGCCGTTGGTCTTACAACACACTGGATGTAGCTACTATACTTATCAAAACTGTAATGTAAAGGCTGTTTTCCACTTACGCGTTTTTCATACGCACGTACACGCACGTAAAAATCTAAATCCTTATACATGTTACCTTTGAAAAATCTAAGTGAATAAATCGAAGGAACTTAGTTTCCTGCTTATTTTAGTGTACATTAGTTGACCTAGATGTTAAATAATAAATGGTTAAAAGCATTTTAAATTTTCCGTACGTGTACGTGCGTATAAAAAACAGCCTTTAATAGGATTTCCGGCGGAGACCATATTGAAACCTTTTTAAGTAACAAAGTGCTAGGGTTCGACATTTCATGATGCATTTTTGTGTAAAGATCCACTCAAGGCCGTAACTACAAGCTCAATTAGGGTAGGGCGGGGGAGTTTGCATATTCATACATTCATGTTTACAAAGCGTAGGAACAATTACTTTCAATAAAAATGAGTCTGGAAAAGAACGAAAAACTGAATATCCCACCACCCCAATTAAACTTCGGCCCTGGATATCGCTCTCGGTCTAAGATGTCGAATTTAGCTCTTCTCACTTGGGTCAAAATATTTCTATAGCATAGGAATCATCCTTTAGGTCAATCAAAAGGCTAACTGATACGATACGACACAAAATCGACGCACCTTTTTGCAATATATCGCCAACGAGCGTCCATTCGATGGGTAATTCCAGTTGTGCAAAAGCCTGAGCTAGCCTCTTATCCCAGAGTTCCAAGTGATCTTTGCCCGAGCACACGGACCACACCGCGTCGAGCTTCTCCGCGACCTCGCAATCCGTGACACTTAGGGCTAGAAATCTGGCGATGGCATGCTCCATTTGCGTGATGTAGGTGAACTTGAGATGGGTCAAAATGTTCACGTTGTTATCTTCGCACATAAATACCTTTACCGCCACATCCTCGGCAGTATCGTGTTCTAAAATTAATGTAAATTATATTATAACGTGAAACTATTACGGGATAGAATAGGGGGAAAGGACTGTTCGACTCAGAGCGACTTTTGCGAGTCGGTTCTGCTTATAACAAATGAGGACTGGATGATTTGAAAATTAACCTTAATTCTTAAATTTAATCGCTTTTATGGGCTTCATTTCTTATTCATTTATAGAAAGTTTTCGCGAACGAAAATGTGCAGTCACTACGGGTATACGACTACGAGTACAAGATTTGTCATTCTCCCGTGTTTCTTGCTTACGCCATCAGCAAAAAACTCGTAATCGTCGCCCTTTCGAGTGCGAGTTTGTTGATTAATCATATCTCGTAGTCAAAACTTAAAGACTACGAGTTTCGTCAGATGGCGTAGGCAAACAACTTCGAGTTTGGCGCGAAAATGATGAATTTCGCGCTCGCAATCACAGCTAAAATCTAAAGCTCTCTTCAAGATGTTATAAGACGAACCTGGTATGACAACGTGAAGCGTGTATGGATTTACAACGTCTGCAATGGCGACATGATACTTTTTAGTTCCCTCAAACACCACGACATAATCGATATTTGACACCTGTAGCTCTTTAGGACTTGCAATCAACATCCCCTGATTGCCCTGGAGAGGAGGTGAAAATAGCACGCACGTTTGAAAGCTATCAAAATTACACGGGGGTTGGGCAGGAGCAGGGGAGGGTATAGTATACGATATTCCTGATAACCTTGCCTTTCAGGTTTTCTGAATTTTTAGCTGAACGTATAAAAGCAAAAGCTATTAAAAACTCCATTTAGTATAGAAATTCTAAGACTTATCCTATAAGACAGCTCAAGAGAGAATGTTTAAAAGACTGGCTAAAATTTACTGGGTTTTAGCCCGAAGATCGGTTGCATTTCGACATTGCCTTCAGTTTGATCACGATTAATAGAATATACATGGTTTGGAGACCACATACAACTACAATACAACTCATTTACTATGTTGAGGTAGATTTATGATTGAGGTAGAAAGGTCTCATCACATGTCTATTGTATTTTGCACAGATAAACCAATAGCAATATTATATTTAACATATTTTTCAAGTCAAGGTTGAGGAGCTTAGCAAGACGAATGCCATTGGTAAATTTGGCTAAAATACAATACACGTGACGAAAAAGGAGCCATTTTTTGCATAAACCTGGAAAATAACATAGTTAATAAGTTGTATTGTACTTTTATTTAGTCCCCAAACCATGTATATTCTATTAACTGCGGTTTGATGTACTGTATGACTTTCGTGGTTGGGTATTCAGCCCGGAACTAGGAAATGAAACTGGCTTGGAAAACTGCCAGGGAAAATATGGAGGTGTTTAACTGTTTATCACCAATTATCGTTCCAGTTGTATTAGATAGAGTTCACTGGCAACAACTTTGAAATATGACTGAAGTGATTAACTATGTAACAAAGACGTAACAATGGTTTCAGCAAGAGTCGAAGCGGCATAAAAGAAATAGATATCGTTCCCATATTATCAGCTCAATTCTATTTACAATAGTTATACGAGTTCAAATTTACCCACACATAATTTGTAAATAACGCATCTTCCTAACAATACGACCTGCATGAGATCAATTAAAATGTCCATATATAAATTTGAAAAGGGAAAAGGGAAAAGCTTGTTTTGGTTATGAAATCGCAATTATAATTAATCCATCAGCTTAACTTGTCACAAAGCTAGTTTCGACTACGTTTAGAAAGGGAAACCAGCTCGTAGCCGCTGCTGTTTGAAATATTTTGTTTAATAGCTTGAAAGGTTTCACGAAATGCAACCGTTTACATAATTTTTCAACTACATTTTTCCATAAGTTCTGTAGTGAAGTTAAATTCACATTTCGACTTCCTTTGCATATTTTTTACGAGGCGTGACGCCTAGTAATGATAAGTGACATACAGCAGTGTAATTAAAATCAATTATGCTTTAGAATTTAGAATCACGAGTAAAGTTGAAGTCTTCCTGTTTTTCAGGCTGTCGTGTATGCATGGAAGTCGTTTGGACACCAACGGTAGTCAAGTATTCCTGTCACACACATAAAAAAAGCTTAGATAAGCGAGAGCTATAAATAAGTTAATCCCTTTCATTGATTTATCGAGCAATTTGACGCATCACTGACCGGCTATTACAGCCTCTGGGTTAATTTATAAACCGTTTGTTTAGTTAGAATTTCCTGGACTTGCTGTCGCCATATTTAATAATAATAAAATTCGATGCAAATGACTTCGAGAAGAAATCACGCTATGCTTTGCATTGCAGACGCTTCAATATCCATACGATTTTAGGAAAAATCATTACTCGAAAATAGGCTACATATGCATATAGTATTTTATACTTTCAGCCTTAAATATTGCTAAAATATATTGGCATTAGGCTTGAGATACATAATTTAGCTTAGTTTCCGCAGTTTGGTTTAAAAAATTAAATCCTCGGTTCGTTATAAAAAATAACACATTAGGTGTCCACTAGATTTATTATTTTCATCGAAATATCATGAATTCCACAACCTAAAACGCATGCTTTAAAAATTTTCAAACACCGTAAAAACGAATTCCACCAAAGGCAAAGTTACTCTGCAACTGTACTGTACTCTGTAAAGACTCTATGTTTAAATGTCAACGTTTTAAATACACCACAAGGCATAAAAACAATCAATTCATGTAATTGGAAACCAGGAATTAAAAAAAAACAAGCACATTTTTATATACTGTTCAATATTTTAGGAAGTTTTCCTCAGTCTCAGAGAATACATTCTATTCTTCTTCAAGAGTACTTAACCTTTCATTGTAATCGGCATTGCTGTCCACGCTGACATTGCCAACAGTTCAATATCCGAATGATTTTTAATGCATTGCCATTGTGGATGTTTCGCAGACGTTAAATGGATTGCTTATTATTGGAATGACAAGCGTTGAAACCTTTGGGCCTATCAAGTAGCTTTAGAACGGCCTTTTGAATGCGGCCTGCAGAGAGAATGTGACTTGCAAATTAAGTAAACAAACACGCAGATGGTATAGTCTAGGTGTAATATCGCTATCCAAAACAAAGATAAATTTAGACTGACATTCGAAATATTTTGGCTATACTTTTGTATATATTGCCTTGTGAGAGATGGATATTAAAAACAGCCATGATTCAGCCAAATGTTTTTAAAATATGGGAAGATGCATTGGAAAAAACTTGAAGTTCTGTGCACTGAACAACACTCCAAACATTATATACTTCAAACTGCCCATGTTTGCTGAGAATTTGAGAATGAATTTCATCCTACATAGCAGATGTGTTTCTTGTTTCATTAAAGCATGCATATATTTTTTTCTTCCCATATCTTTTACATCCATAACAAGCACAAATTGTTACAACAGATTTGAACCAACAGATCTGAACAATCCAACCTGAATTAAGCTGTCTGAATCCCGTTGTGAACTACAATCTTCCTGAATTAACAAATAAACCCAACTCTCACAAAACTAAACATTTTGCCATTGCACGAATGAATTCAAGTTAGTACCTATATACCATTATTTGCACTGCACCAAAAAACCCACTGTACACTGTAACTAATTAGTTTGTATAGGTTTTTATATAACCAAGTATTGACCAAGCTTAACTTGACGATTTAGATGTTGTATTTAACCAATGTTATTGAGCAGTATGTACCAAAATAGAGCAAAGTGTAAACAGAGATTTACGCAATAAATACTAGGATTGAATATTGAAATGAGACTAAGAGCAATCTAGAACATTTGTCAAATACCTCATTAGCACTGGCAATTATACCATTTAAAAATCATAAAAAAAATTGTTTGTGCTCATGCCAAGTACACTTAGTGGTGCAAAGCTTTTGGTCAGTTAGTTAACCCAAACTGTCATCTGTGTGACACCTTGTGAGTTGTACTGATAAAGATTCTGGCAAACAGAAGAAAATCTTGGCAATAATCAATGTGTTCACAAACAAATATTTATATTGCTTTTAATATCATCATGTGAAACTACAAAAACTGATAGCCACATAATTATCAGCTCTCTATTCAATGCCTACCAGATTAGCTACGACCACCATTAGGTATTTTAAAACAAGTATGTGTCACATGCTACACCACTTGACCCCAAATTGATGTTGTACCTGTCGAGGTGGGCTGTTGACAGTTTGGTACAAGCAAATACTTTGTATTAGAGTTTGTTGTGTATGATGAGTTTAATCTAGAGCCCACATTGTGCATGATCAGCTGTACTCAGACTGCCCTAGTACTAAATGCATGCAATTTGGGTCTTATTTACATGCCAATCCACCTCTTTTAAACATGGTGAATCTAGCAAAGCAAAAATAATAAACAAATCAAGCAGAAAATTGTGTCTAACTTCCTCAAATAATGTTGCATCAAAGCTATCAGATTTATCTGTAAATGTTAAATTACTGCCTAGCATTGCAATGCAAAATTTTACATTGCGAAACCTTGAAGTATATACCAATATCATCATGGGAGAAAATTATATTCCCAGCACTTAAAAATAAAGTGATTTATTTCACACAATATATTTTGTATGTACAGGGAATGGTTAGCATAACCAATATCACTTTCAAATAAATTAAAAGTGCATAGCTAAAAATGTCAAAGGCAGTTGAGCTGTCCTTGAAATTCCATCCCACATGTAATTTTGCAAAGTGCAAATTACAGAGAGATTACTTCCTTTTTTATCACAAAACACTACAAGTCTAACTACTAATACCCTTATCACATGTATTTTTAACCCCCATGCCATATGCTCTAAATATAAGTGACATCTCCAGGCGCATTGGTTAAATAACTTTATAAAAAGACGAGGCGTTTTCAGGAATTCTGTAAAAGGTGATCTTATCGACATTACACAGACACCTATTAAATTATCGATAAATTCTGTGATCATTTATTCAGTACAGAGGTGGCTTTTCCTACATACATAGGTACCGTAATTTTTAAACCGCAAAACTCACATAGGTCGGTGCTTTCTGCGGTGTAAGAGCTGATTTCCACGAGACTAAAATAGACAAAAATGTTTGTTATTCAAAACATATTTCGATCGCTGCACGTACACTTTATGTAAATAATTGTAAACCATCGCGGTGGCGAACAAGCCATCGGTAACAGACAAAACATAATTATTGCAGTACGAGTGTTTGGCGTGAGGAAGGTCGATTTTTAATAGATCTTTAGATGCCAGGACAAAGAATAAATTCTCGTAAATTAACTGCCTCGCAGGGGTGAAATAGAGCTGTCGCTAGCGGTGCTAAAACGAAACAAAAAAACCTCCTCCTACACCGGGGCCCTTGTATTTTAAACAACATTTCACAAACATACTGCACTTGCCGAAAAGCATGCTCGAACTAGGCTTTATTTCGGACCGTTTATTGATTGAATTATCTAGAAATTTGTTAAGATATCGTAATAGAGAAAGAATCGCCATCCTCTCACAGACAATTCGAGAGTTCAAGCGATAATACTCTAGTTACACAAGTCATCTTTGCGAGCAAAATTCCAAAAAAATTCACATATTTTACAGGTATATATTACCCCATGATTTCCCTACAATAAATAACATTGTGTCTTCCAAGGCAATTATAATATCGATTAACTGTCAATTCGTGAAATATCACCGAGAACTTTGGACATTTAAATTGGAATTTACACAAGGATCGACGAGCCGTCTCCCTCGTCGTTACAAAACGGTGTTTCATTTCCTGACCGCTTGCGATCTTCTCGATTCGCTATTCAGCGAGTTCAAATCCGATCACAAACGGTCTGGTTTCTCGTCAAATCCGTTTCTTAAGATAGACAAAGGAAAGTATAAAGGGAGAAATTCCTGTTACCTTGCGATTTGGCCATATTTTATTTGTCAGATCGAATGTTTATGGTTGATAAATTGATGTAACAATACGACGATTTTGCCACAAAATTCGAAGAAAATGTAAAGCTAGCTCTTCCAAATCATCCATAAACGCGTTCCGTTATCGATTCATTCGAGAGCCGTTTAAAATATCCTTTTTAAAGCCATTTTCGAATGAATTTTTCCAATTTATATACATCATCAAATATCTCTTCGGTTGCCCTTTACCACCGGCATTGCTTCGGCTAGAGTCGTGTTATCGTCGTCCAATGTCGTGAAACGACGTCGAATCCCACGTGACTACGAGTAGGCGCAATTTACGCCAAATAGACGCGCTGACGCGCGCTGAACCTGTTCGCGTCACGTCACGTAAAAACACAAGCCACGCAAAGGTGAACAGCTGTTAAGTATGTAGTGTTGTCATTTTGCCAAGTATCATTGCATGGAGGTTTAGCTTTTGCAAAAATTGGGAAAGCCAAAACTTTCGCATTATTTTGAATGCCTAATTGCCCGTGTAATACTAAATGATCCCTCCTTTTACAAGTTTACGCACCTATGGGTTTAGTGTGGCAAAAAATTCAAATTTAAACAGAATCTTCAAATTCAGGCCTTTAGATATTAGGTTAATGTGGGCTGATGTTGAAATGCAATGTCTTAGCAGTATGGAACCGAATTCTATGCGTGGAAGGTTAGCGCCAGTAAAGTGGATTATACGCAGATTAACCTAACTATGGCGCAACGTTGAGCCAATGAAAATTACATGCATGTGATTCCATTGTGCTTACGCGTCCGTATTATAAGACGTCACACATTCAAATTATTGCGAATGGTTAATAATAGCATAATTTCTAATGCCCGGTTTCCATTTAGTCAAAGTTGTCGTGAACACGTCAAGTGACTGATGTAAAAGAATATTTCTACCCGTATGCGCTAAATTCATAAACAATGAATGATTTAAAAATAAAGACAAATGTACATCCGGACTATCTTTCATCGGTGAAAATGACATGTTCATAAAAATTACGACAAAAATGGAAACCAGGCTTCACGATCTCATAGGTATAACCTTGGAATAATGGGATATACAACGCTTGATACAGCCTGTACACGAAGCATAATTTCATAAACCAATTTCATTTCGTTTCCGCAACTAAAGTATTTTTTTTTCATTATCCATTTTTTTTTCCTCAAGTGCGGTTGAGGTACGGTCTCGTCGTCTTCCTCTCAAATATCGCAATGATAGACGATGGCTATTGTTGGTAACTGACGAATGAAGTGCTTAGTGTAATATTTTGAATACATTTTTTTCGCGCATGGAGAAACGTCGCGAAAAACGTCGCAACTATTGACAGCTAACTGGACAGCCAGCTGTAATCTAAATTTGCATATAATGTAGTCTGATAGCCGTGAAACTGCATATTTTGGTTATTAAATGTGGTGAAATATCGAAAATCTGCCCAGCAAAATTCGGTTTATAGTACGTGAGTAACAATAACATTTGAATTGTACATCCTGAACCAAAAAATGGTTCAATTTCTCCCGCGCGTAATTTCAAATAAATACAAAATTACGCCGGGCCGCGGGAGTCGGGACTTGACGGGGCTATAGTTTTCACCCTTTTCAACATTTTGCAACCAAACTTTGCAGTTTTACCAATTCAAAGATGCTCTTTCCAGAGTCGGTGTTAGGTTTTGTTTGTACTTGTTGGGTCACACGTCAGACTTCATCTAGAACCATCTATTGTTCAAGATTTCTTCCACGTATGACACATGTCGCTATAGTTACTATTGTTGAAGGATAGCCGAGTGTCGTATTACCCAGGCAGATTATTGTTAACCAATCGTGCGAATCGCCCAAAATTATATCGTATAGCCAAGCTGCAGCACCAAATTTGTGGGGAAAGAACTTTCTAGTTCAGTGTCATGGTAACATTAAAAAGGATGTATATTTAAAACTCGAGTGAATAATATACCGTATTACCGTATATAGTTTCAAATTCAACACTGTTTATAATCATAGACATACAAATATAGGAAATATATTTAGTAATACCGTAAATATTAACAATTAACAAGTAAAAATCGACAATGAATCGATAAAAACAAAAGTTACTTACGCGTTTATTACAAAATGTATTCGGCGAGTTCTTCTGCTCTTCCAAGAGGTTCAGTATGTAGACACGTACTGGTTGAGAGTTCGAATTTTCAGGAAGTGATAATCCTTTGAATGGCGGTAATTATCGTGACAATTCAGTGTTATCAAGTCCTTTTTGAAACAAAACGTTTTCCTGTCGGTGAAATTCCTTTTACACCCACGGTAAAATTTACCAAACCGGAATATCTAACTCGATAAAAGACTTTGAATCATTATTTTGAAACTTAGTAACCTATCTCTCGGGCATTTAATACATTGAGAATCACCGATGCATCTTACTGTAATCGCTGGAACGGAAGTAGCGCTGGCAGTTATCTCTTTGTATGAACCTTGAACGGCTGACTATTTTTCAACATCCGAAAAGCGTAAAAAATGCAACAAAAATGTCGACCTTAAACAGTTGAACTTAGCTCAGTGAGAAGACATTATTTGTTTTGCACTCTGCAAAGAATCGTCTAGATGTTTGAACGGACTCTGATGACTGACGTTGAGGAATGCGCGTAGGTAATCACGTATATAATAAACGCCTAGTGTTATTTCTTGTAGCTATTCCTAGTAACGTTTTTTCCAGAAATCAAAGAATTAAATCGGGTGTAGATAAAAGGCGGATGCGGACCGGCGGACTCGGACGTGCGGACGCGGACTGAAAACTATTTATTATCTAGGTTTACATAATTTTGGAAAGGCATAAAAACCTTTTACAAACGCTAGTATACACGCGCCGACGCACATGTAATAAGCCACACAGAAAACAGAACGATAATTACTTCACGTTTGTTTACCGTTTTCCAATCGGCCCTGTGATATCCATCCTCGCTATCTGAGCCTGAAACAACTTCAGAACACAAACGTTTCGCCATTTAAAGATTTTATCAAAGTTATGAAACTAATTCTCGACAAGACGTTAGGAATTATTAATAACACAATAATTAATAATATGATAATATAACCGTTTTCGGTCCGCCAGTCCGCGTCCACCGGCCCGCCTTTTATCTACACCCTAAATTTTGAGTGGTGCCACTCTAAAATCTCGTCTCAAGAAAAACAGGAAACTGTACGATTTAAATCTGCCTAGTGGAACTTCAGCCATTATACAGATCAGACCTCTTATGTCCATGGTCTTGAGTTGAGTATACTCTCACTGCACCGGATTCGTCTGTCACGATATTATGTTGTGAAGTTTGAGAATTGGTGTCCTAAATTTTTAAAATTACGCTGAATAGTGTAAAAGAATAAAGCAAGAACACGCATGAAGGACGGTGAAATTCAGTCTAGACAAACATCAGTCCCGAATGACAACACCAAGGGGCTGCATGATTACATGGAGTGTTTTCAGCCCGGGCTGAGTTTCACGCGATTACATGACAAGAATTTCAGTTCGGTTTGAGTTACCCGGGCTGAAACTTCAGCTTTGTGAATGAAATTGAAATTGAAAAATTCGCCTTGGCCTTGACAATGCTTTTTCGTTTGTTCATTTCATTTTTAAGCCCAGTTTCCACTCAAGAAAATTCTCCTTTGCATCGGACAGAACAGGAAAGTTTCCTTTGTATAAACGCCGCCAGAGAACAGTCACCGACAAAGGAAATTTCCTGTCCGTTCCGATCCAAAGGAGATTTTTCCTGAATGAAAACTAGCCTTTACTGCAGTCATAGTCCCTTAAAGGTCAAGTTTTTGTCATTCGGGATTTTAAAGCGCTCGAAGAATCGAAATAGGTCTACTACGAGCCTTTACAAACTCAGCCGGGCTATAAAATAATTCTTACGTGTCATAACACAGTCCGGGCTCCACGGCCCACGCTGGGGATAATGAAAATTAGGTGTGAACAGTGAACTCTATACAACTGGAACGATAACTCAAAGTCCTCTCACGCCTCGTTGGATCTCGGGTAACCGGGCTCGTGTAAACAGCCGCTAAAGCAATATTACACGAAACATGGAACTTTCAACATCAACTCGCAATGAAAACGGCAACTTGAAACACAAACGGCATGAGTGACGACAAAAGACTGGGTCAAGGATTGTGATTGATGAAAAACAAGAACTTTATTTCCGGTCAAAAAAGTTGTTGTCAAAAACGTCACTTGCTTAAGCTCACTAATGCCAGTAGTTTGTGCATGACCAACCTCTCACCAGCGTACCCGAGTCTTGTTCAGTGATCGCGGAGTCAGTTTAAAAGTAAGGGGGAGAGGACAGAACCAGACCCCAATGCCGATTTCACAGTTCAAACCCGCACAGATAATTTCATCTGGTAATTTTTTGTCAGAGGGAAAAGTGACAAAGGAATACCCCCCTACTCCATTCATGTCCGTCACTATTTCAGTGTCCTAGAAATTTAGCATTTTTTAAACGTAGAACTGAACCCGTTGGCTATTAGCAATCTTGTATCTAATTAGTATCACAAGACGACAGCGTTATGAAATCTCAGTCAGAATTTCCGAATGTCCTTATTGTCTACAAGTTTAAACCGCTGACAAGCGAACCCGATCCGATGAAACGGTATCAGACGTATGGGACACGAAAACGCTCTTTGGTTCCTTTTAAACCTAAGAATATGCCACATTCAAACTACAGTATTTGTGGATATAAAGGATTTATTATATTTCCAAACTGAATGAATTCCCTCTACTATTACACATAAAAAGGTTGTCAGCAAGATCATTAGCAATCTGCTGTCTTCCGGATTCGCCTTAACACAATAGATAACTTGTCTAGGATAACTAGTACGGCGATCTATTGTTTCAGCTAAAACGGTAACTGATTGGGGAAGAGTTAAAGCAACGCACGCTGTGTGGTCTGTGTCCTATTTACGGGCGAATGGTAGTTATTATAGCGCTGTTTTTGTTTTTTAAGAATGTCTATACCTTTATTTTTTTATAAATTTCCGAATTTTCGATCTTTTATCGTACAGAAAGACGTTTTGGGTTTTGGGTCATGTTTTTTCATCTAAAATTACTAAAAATAGTGTTTTAATTAACTTTATACAAGTATTAACTGATTATTGACTGCATGAGCGTGATGTCTGTACTGTGAAATTTGTTCGAGGTTTTTTGCATGCCAGGTACTCGCTCCTTCGTCATACAAAAAAACCCTCAGTCTGATATTTCACAGAACAGCCCGAACAAGCGAGGTCAATAATCGGTTTATTATATGGCTAGACATCCGCGGGATACTGGTCCATGCAGATGCATAATATAGCCTACGGACCACGGTCCGGATATAGGTTTTACGGACCACTCGTCAGCCAATTAGAATAGAGGATTTTGGAAAGCCATATAACAAGAGGCCTGTTCTGGCGTTAACTCCGGCGCACGTGCCAGTCTTCAATATAAAACTTTTGAACATAAACAATACAGTTCATATTCATTTAGATGCCTTGCGAACCTAAATCGATCACGAAATTCAGAAGCACATCGTACTTTAAAAAGTATAGAAGTTCATTTGTTCAAAAATGTAAATAAACCGCATGATACATTCGTTTTGTCGCACACTTTGCCTTTGGAATTCGCGCTTATATAGCTATATTAAATCTTCAATCCTGTGCAAACTACAACGTGTCAACGCGCCCATACACGACCACATGGCAAAATAGCAACAATATTATTAAAATAGGACCAGAATCTACATGTATTTAATATATTCTTACCCCAATTCAATCTAAACTTAATCGAACAGCATGAAAAGAACGTTCCTCTAGGAGGAATTGCCGTATCATGCGAGGGAAATCGAATCGCGCATTGGAAAATTAGCCAAAGCTGTGCGCCACAACAAAAAAAAACAAAAAACTCTCAGAAAATAAACAAAAACAAAAATAAAACAAAACCGAGGCCAATTTTCAACTCCGTCGCTGACGCCGGAGTAATAAATAAATAGGTTTATCACTAGTTATTTCTTGTCGAGACGTAGTCGTAATTGTTAAATTATAGATATTTAGATATTGAGCTAATGGATCAGTGATGTATGCGATGCTGCGAAAATCACGAATGAGTTTCATCATTAATCTGTATTTACACGAATCTAAATATTACGTTTACGAGTTCAGCAGCTAATGTTTTTCGAGAATTTTCACACGGTCAATTCTTTGTAACAATATTGTCTTCAGGGGCGCACAGTAGTAGGGTGCGTGTGGGCGGGAACGAAAAGTTGGTCAGGCTAAAATACATTATTGGTAATATGGACTATACGTTTGGACAATATACATACATGATTGTGCATTTGCGCAGGCATTTAGATTGTATATATAGACAATTGTGCAAGCATTGTACTTTAAACTACAGATAAGCAGTTTTTTACAGGCACCTAAGTAGCGTTTGTAACCTTAATACAGTGAATCAAAGTCGAAATCCTTGAGTAATTCTTTAACTTCAAAATTTCTTTGTCTGACCCAACAAGGACCAGCGGTCTTCCAATACTCCACAATCTTTCTGACGCAATGCTCTGATAATTCGTGCATCCTTCTACGATGATCATGATAGGCACTGCCAGATGGATTGTTGAAGACGCTTGAATACATTTTAAAGTCTCCATTTTGCATTGCAAATCCTTCGCCAACGACTTCCGCGTCATTTACAGATTCACCGAAGGCATTTCTATAAACAGCTCCGTGAACAACACCAGGCTCATTCTCCCATTTTCTAACGTCTTCTTTATCTGTGGCTTGAATGACGATATAGCCAGACTTGCAGTGAGTGTTGTTGGCGGTTCTCCATTCTGACTTGCCGTCGTATTGATAAACAATGACTCCGCCATAGTTGTGGCTTGGATTATACATGTCGGATTTACAAGAGATGTGCATTGTTGTGACAGAAACTCTTTTCTTATCGTAGGACTCAGGAGTTATTACGATTTTGTCTTTCTCTGATGGTGCGATGAAGGAGCCACCAAAAAACCGTGGCTGGGCGAAAGAAATAACGCTTGTGTTATCCTCCTTTATATTAGGCTTTTTAACGAAAAGCTTTCCTGTCATTGGGTCGAATACCAAACGACTAAGATCATGTTTCTGCATCATATCCCGTGTTTGCTTCTCTGATTAAATTAAATTTCGCTTTACAGTGATAGCGAATGACATTAAAATGGCTTGGGAAGGAAAAAAACGGATGAATACGTCAGCAAATATTTGTGCTGTGACGTAAAACGTTGTCGTTGCCAACGAGCATATAACAGACTCTTCCGGTAATTTCGTAACAGCTTCATGGCTTTCCACCTTAGAAGCCTGTTACAGACGAGCAAGTTTTCCAAGTTTTAATTGTTCGTCTGTACGCCAAACTTTGACAATTTTTTCTATGACAACTGACAAGTATACTTGATTTTGAACAAGTGTACTTGTCATAAAAAAATGTCAAAGTACAAATTTCCCTCGTGTGTATGAGTCAACCAATAAAATTTGTCAAAGTAATGTGAGCACTGGTATGAGTTTGACCAGCGGACTATTGTATTTTGTAGTGGCAGCTAGCATTAGCGCTGTACCCTTGACTGATTTAGCGATAAAAAAACTACTCAGGTCAAGTTTAGAGGGAGTAAATTAAACTTTGATGTTACTGTGATAGCGAATGACATTGAAATGGGACTCGGGAAGAAAAAACCGGATTTAAAAATTAGCACGTTTTCGTGTTGTGACCTGTCACTGTCACTCACGTGACAAAAACCTCGCTAACATTTCTGGTAATTACGTCACAACTTTATCGTGTCCAAAGATGCAAACCATCTTACTTCAACAAATGCATGAAAAATATTTCTGCTTAAAAAATAAGTCGAATCTTGGCTAATTTCCATATTAACTGGTCAAAATGAAAAATCTGTAACGGGTTGCACTTTAAGCCAGGGTCAGAAAGACACACGTGGTGTTCCTACATATTGTTTATTAAGATAGCATATATTTAAACATCCCAAATAAACAATTTACTTTAATACCGTCACTCTGGTATACTAGAGGTCTAACACCTTGGGTAAAAATTAGCATCGAAACTAAAGAAGCATATCAATTTAAACTTTATTATACTTTCCTTTCACAAATACATTGCAGGATATTAAACAAAATCAGGAACACCAGGCCGTTCAGTAGAGAAGATAGGCAACTTCGGTATACGGGATTTTTTATAGTGAACCTAACAGTCACACGATAAAATATGTTTTTTCAAAAATATGTCCACAGTTTAGCAAATGGCGTCTTATTTTCTGTACCACATAGCGATAGGTCTTTGCCGTCTAACTTTTTTCTGTAGTTGCAGAATACCATAGAGCAATGCCTCGGCACTGGGCGGACACCCGGGGACGTAAATATCGACCGGAACAATACGATCACAACCTCGAACTACTGCATACGAGTAATGATAGTAACCGCCACCATTCGCACAGCTGGAGAAAGCAAGTTTGATGTTTTGAATGCAGCCAAGTTCATAACGATAAAAACTTAGAGGATAACTAAAACTTTTCTCTAATGTTATGTATGCCCTTCCCCCTCCCCTGGTGGGATACGCCCCTCTCTCTCTCTCTCTCTCTAATATGACACATATTAATGCTGAGAACAAGCAATGCAAGGGAAATCTTGAAAAGCGTAGCAAGAAACGTGGAACAGGTTGACAAGAACGCCCCAAGCACCCCCCCCCCGCTCTTGCTGTTTAGCTGACCTCTACATAATAACTGAATGCAACTTCTTTTTTCTAATAAAGCGCCTGAGTACGATGCTACTTTTCTACAGATATTTGTGTACTTCTTAAGTATTTTAACAGACTGTACCTTCCCATCGATAAAACCCATCGTGGTTCCGGCATTTGATCATACACCTAGACAAAGCAAAGAAAGATGAGAGTGTGATTACATATGTGAGATTACATAGAGTGTGATTACATATGAGATGAAAGTATGATTACATGTGTGAGATTACATAGAGTGATTACATGTAAGATTGGAGTGTGATTACATGTGAGATTACATAGAGTGTGATTACATGTGAGATTAGACAGTAATATAAGATTCTTAATGTGTATATTCCAGACAGTCAAAACATCCCGATGGGAGGAAACCGGAATGTCTGAAGAAAACACGCGACTTTGGGTACAAGGAAGACTTGTCTATTATTTTTCCCATGGGGGCGATACCCAACCTCTATACCTGAAGAATAATATAATTACCTCTAGATCCGTAAAATTAGAGTGCTTGTTTGCATTGACAAGTTTAACGATGTTCAACTTTGACAAGTTTAACGATGTTCAACTTACCTTTCTAAGCGCGGGCGCCATCTTGTTTGTCAGTGTCCCAGCAACGATCATTACATCAGCCTGGCGCTAAAATAATTTCGTCAGACAAGATTAATTTGGGGACATTGTCTTTTTACTCCAGGCAGTGTCAGTCTAGAAAAGCTACAACCTAATGTATTGCGTAGGCTGATATTGTTGAGGATGTACTAATGGGTAACGTTTTACTATTTACATCACGGGATAAATGAATTAACTGGAAATCCACTGGTCTCAATATACACTGGAGATAGCAAATATACCCATCAAAAAACGAATGCAGAATTAATGAACTTCCAGAAACACAGAGCGGTCAAAACTACTACTCCTTATATAAGGCGGCTTTATCAACGCACGACTTTGGTATTGACTTAAAACCTGATGTAAACGGAAGCTTTAATCATTCCTCAAAAACGTTTCTTCCTGTGGTTTGCGTGATATTTTTATTCCTTTTTTGGTTCTACGGAAGTCCGTTAATTCCGGCTCTATTTTTGATTAGCATAGCCAGTCCTATATCACGTGTTATCATCAGATCAGGGTACTTACCGGGCTGGCTCTAAAAACGACCCCAAAGCGATCCATATCGTACCTGCATAAATAAATTTATGAGTAAAGTGTTCAAGCATTCCTCCTGTGAAATGCATGCGATGATCGCTGGGAGAAAATCAGCCCAAAACAGCCGGAATTCTAGCGATAAGTACTACCAAGTAAATAACAATGCTCGCGGAAAAACCCGCGCAAACGGACACTCAAGAACTAAGTCTTGCACGCTTTCTTCAACAATTCAGTATTTTTTTCCGTTTTTCCAAGTACGATTAGCCAGTAGGTTTCCGATCAATGATAAATGAACAATTAGATCAATGGAAATAAGAAATAGAAAGATTTTGTAGAAAACTGAGATAATAAAAAAACCGTTCCGCCCAAGAAAAATTGGGAGGCACATTATAGCGCGTTCTTAACTCAACCGTTTTAAAAAGCATCGCTTCTACACGAGCCTAGTTTATTAACTATGATTGGTAATGCATGCACCAAATATAGATGATGACACATCTTTGGCCAAAATAAGTATTGCACCACGTGTTTGAGAACTGTAACCAGACGATATAAAGAATACTGGGGCCGGTTGTTCAAAGCTAGGTTAGCGCTAACCCTGGGTTAAATTTTACGCCGCTGCACCGCTGTTTGTTACAAAATAAGACTTTTATTGATCCACAAAATATTTATTCAAAAACAAGTTCAACTTTATAAACGAGCGAGCGATTAAAAAAATTGATGTAAAAATTTGAGTTAACTCAGGGTTAAGCTAACCGGCTTTTGAACAGCCGGCCTCTGAATATTACTCCCGATATTACATAATTTCATCAACAGGAGTTAAAATTCTATGTCTCGTTGTATTAAAAATATGTACCGTGGTCCTGCAAAATGCATCATTTCAACTGCACAACACGCAAGACCAAATGTCATCGGCCACATTGAACTCTATTTATAACAAATGAAACTGGGTATCAAAGATCGTCAATTTATACAATGTCTAAATAAAAAAAACTATAATATACAGCTCAAAAGAAAACGTCCACTCTACTAACCCGCCTTCCCCAGTTGACCAGGTCATCGATCTTTGCTACTACAAAATCTGCGAATGCACATTTAGAGAAAATTTTAGAGAATTTTACTCAAATTCACCAATTCGAAAATTACAACGTAAAGGCTTATGTTCAGAATAGTTTTAATCCAGACATCCTAATTTACAAGTATATAAGAACAATAACAAAAAATAACAATATAGTAAAAATAAAATATTATATTTAAGGTTGAAAGTATTTGCCACATAAACAGGCAAGTTTAGCTATAATGCCTTTTATATAACTGATATGAATAAAACAACTCACACATTTAATAACTAAGCATGTGGAACACATTAAGTAGGAATTTATAAACTTAATAAAGACACGACCCAAACCCCTAATTTTTTAACCTGATTTACTGACTCCTATCTTTGGCAATCGAAGATGAATATTAATAACAATGCAATAGACCTTTCTCATAATGACGTCAAACGCGGAAAGTCTTCCTGAGCAAAGCTAACGAGCCAATCAAACTTCGTGTTACATCAGGCCTTCCGAGTTTGATGTCATTATAAGAAAGGTCTATTCAATTGACACCACCTACCAGCAGCATTGTTTAGCCTTCCTTGTTTCTTTGCTGGGATCGTCACGGCGTTCCTTCTCGCTTCATACGGTATGAGGCTGTAGAATGAATAACATCATCACGATTTTTTTACTCTTTATCTTAACTACCAGTGTTTCCAAACTTTAATATACGAGGATGAGTGGAAACTTTTACATATTTAGACACACTTTACGCTAGCAAATATTTAAATAAGTTTAAAATATGCACACACGTTAGCAGTGGGCCATTGACCATTTTTATTAATAACAGATAATGTAACAACTAATTGTTCAAGGTGTCCAAGCAACCAAGATTAGGTTTGCCATGCACTAAATATTCCAGTTCAACAGAAACTATATATAAATTACATTAGATCCACGAAATGTAAACAAGAATGCAAATTGTTTAACCCACCAACAAGCTACAGATTAAAACTCGGTTTAAGGAATATAGCCAGTAAATGGGAAAAAGGCAACTAAAGTGTATCTTTAATTTTTCGAAAATTGAATTTAGCAATTGTTATTTGAAAACCACATCGTAAGGCACGAATATTTAGAGTAAACTAATTGTAAGAACTGCGCCATAGTAATATAATACGCATATATGCTAGTAGTTACATTCCAGTGTATCCAAGTAGAAGGGCGGCAGTGTCTTCCAAAAACTTCGCATCAAATGTGGTATAAACATAGGCAAAAACACTTCTCAACGTTTCGACTAAGGGCTAAGGGTTACTCCACATTTATTGAAAATGTGCTATTGGGTACTAACTAAGGTTACACAGTGAATCAAAGTCGAAATCCTCAAGAAGTTGTTTTACTTCAATCTTGACTGGGAAGAGAAAAACCAAGAATATGTGGAGTCCATATACAAAGGGAAAGGAACAATATCGCCCATCCCTCTATCTTATAGCCTTATAGATGAAGCGGAAAGGTGCCTTATATACACATATACATAATAATAATATATACACATATACATAATAATAATATATACACATATACATAAAAATATATACATAACAGAAATGATGCATATGTTAAAACTCACAGCAAGTGTAATAAAGTTTGGGGGAATAATCAACGATTAAAAAAACAAATTCAGTTTTCAAGTGTTACACGGACTGAAGGCAACGAATGCGCAGTGAAGATGTCTGAACGGTATCGAGAGCGCAAAGAGATGGAAAATGGTCCTCAAAACATCGAATACAATAAGGTGAAGAAATACTTGGAAATGTATGTTGTTGGAATGGAGGAAATTAGGAAATAGAATCATTTAAAGTTTTGCACGCATGGCAAACAATGCGGGGAACTGGCGTGGGCATTCGAGAGAAACGCTGGCATAGAAAAAGAGTCTATTAGAAGCACTCGGACATTGAATGAACGCATTCAGGAGGGAGGCGAGGCACTAGTGGCAAATTTGGACTGGAACACAACGAGGCTAAGCGATAGCAACAATTAGTTAGCGATAGCAAATTTATTTATTTAAAAATATTTTGAAACGGTAACCCTTAAGGGTACGTAGACACCTGCTTATCAAGGAGCCGTTTTTCTAATTCATGCAAAGTTAAAAATACACAATCATATTTACATTACAATATCTACAGATTTCCGTGTTTACATTTACAGATTTACATGTTTTTGGCAAAAACATGTCATAACTCGTATATTGCATTGTTTAATTGAAAAAGGTAATTCAGAACTGATTAACTAACATGCAGTCTTTTCATAAAATTCGTTTTAGGTTTTGGAAGTGCGTAATTTGTACTGTTACTTCGCAATTCGTACCTATGGCTATTTGCAAATTTAAACATTTCCATTAGAGACGTTGGCAAAGTATTGTTTTTTACCCAACGCAAAAACCGCAAAATGGCTGGTACCTGACTTTCTCGAAAGACCGCTTTGGGGATGTGGTTCGATATTGTGATATCATATTTAAAAGTAAAGAAGAAAAAGGATGATGAACTAAAAGAATGTTTTGGACCTCAATCTATTTTTCTTATTACTATTGACGAGTAGAATTATTAATCACTTACCGCAAAACTCCCGCTGTTATGCATATGTATATAGAAGGAAATTCATCATGCGAATGTGTCGAGGAATATTTTGTCATTTTTACCTCACATGCTTTTTTCAACTACTTTGCATGTTCAACTTCATCTTGTGAAATATAGCAAGCTTTTACCAATGTAAGGTCATATACAGGGTGAGTAAAAAAACCCTGACACCTTTGAAATTCAAATTAGCTGCAATGTGTCTGTAATCGGCTGTAATGTGACAGAAGTTGCCTAAAATATCTCATGGGTATACGAAGCATATCAAATAAGTGAACCCATTAATTAACCTTGAACATAAAGTTTGTTCCCTTAGGGTGTTAAAATGCATTCTAAGCACTGCAATAAAAAAGAACGTTGAATTAGTTCAATTGGTTTAAACACTTTCGCATTAATTAAGCACGTCTTGTTGATTGTACACAATGGGAATTGTCAAATTCCAGCCATAAGTTCGCAGGTAATTTGAATTTCAAAGTTGTCAGTTTTTTTTTGACCCACCCTGTAGATAGAAATTTAAAATATTTATTTTAATAAATAAAGTGATTTATACGAAGCCTGAAAATTCGTAAAAATAAAAGCATGCAACTTATGTTATAACAAGACGCCTGCTCTCGCTCTCGTTTTCAATATATAGCTCCTGAACATAAACACTACAGTTCATATTCATTGCGAACCTAAATGTTGTTCGACATTCAGACAGCACATCGCACTTGATAAACTTATAGCTCATAATATGAACTTAGCTATAGCTTATAAGAGCGTGTAATATGCATGTGTGATGTATCGACAAATGTGAATGGTTTTTGCTATGTAAGCGGTAATCATAATTAAGCGAATAAGTATAATGAATAGATTGTAATGTTTCTCTTAAATATTGTTCAAAAACAATGTGTGCACGGGAGTACCATTACCAGTCTTAGGACAGCGACATGATTCTTTGCAAAATCTCAATTTTGAGATTGTAAAATTGTAAGTCAAGAAATTGCTAGGGTCTATGGCTTTACTATATAGTGAACTGAAATCTCATTTAAATGCGTATAGGTTCATTTATAAGTAAAACGAGTGGTATCTATGGCGTTTTATTTAAGCGAATCAAAGTCAAAATCCTCGAGCAGTTCTTTTAAAAAAATTCTTATTTTATACACATATGCATTTAAAGTAACTAGTTGAATATGTATCCGAAAACACTTTTTTAGACTTTTTTCTTAATATCTCCTCCTTAATATAGAGGAAATTAATTTCCTCTATGAATAAGGTAAATTAAAAGAGGTTAGAATAAAACCTGAAGTTTTTTCGCTAAATGTATCTCGTGTCACCTGCAGAATGCAAATATATTATACGCAGATTATTCATTCCCTATCGCATAGATTGAATGTTTTTATTCGTGCATGTAAAGAATACTTTAGATATATATGACCTGTTATAATTACAAACCGCAATAATCATGAGCTACTAAATCGTAAATAATACAAACAATTGGAATGAAAACTTTATATTAAAGGGTGCGATTGCAAAGTCACATGTTAAAAACTGATTGGTGTCTATGGCATTTTGTATCCGAATGAACTAAAGTCAAAATCATCAAGCAAATGTTCTACAGCAAAATTTCTTCCTTCCTCAACCAGCCGAGGACCAGAATTCACCCATATCTCCACAATATTTATGACGCAATGCCTAGACAACTCATGCATTCTTCTACGACGATCATGAAATGGACTGTCCTTTGGATTGTTGAAAACGCCCGAATTCATTTCAAATCTTTCATTTCGTATTGCAAATCCTTCGCCAACGACTTCCGCGTCATTTACAGATTCACCGAAGGCATTTCTATAAACAGCTCCGTGAACAACACCAGGCTCTTTTCCAATCCATTTTTTAACGTCTTCTTCATCAGTATCCTGAATGGCGATATAACCAGACTTACAGCGAGTGTTGTTGGCGGTTCTCCATTCTGACTTGCCGTTGTATTGATAAATGATGACTCCGCCATAGTTGTGACCAAGCTTGAAAGTGTGGGATTTACAAGAGATATGCATGGTTGTGACAGAAACTTCATTCTTATCAGAAGACCGAGGAGTTATCACCATCCTGTCTTTCTCTGCGACCAACGTAGCACCAAAAAACCCTGCAGCAGCCATTCGAGTAACTCCGAACATTAGCTTTCCTGTTTTGTGATCAATTACACAACTCGGCGAATGTTTCGAACCTTTACGTACTATTCTCAGCTTTCCTGTATTTGGATCGTGTTGTAATTCCTCATTTGGGTCTTGGCCACGAGCTACTTGACTCAAATGCCCCTCTCTGTCATTCCAGTCTTCCATTCTATGTTTACCGAATATTTCTTGTAGGAGTTATATACTGTTGCCAAGCGAAAGGCTCTCTCGAATGAACGAAAAGGTTTCTTGTTTTATTTTAATTGTGATATGGTCACGTGGGTTCTAGAACGATGCCTTATTGGTCAATGAGTAACTAATACGTCATGCGAAGTAATGCTATTAGAAATACGTAAAATGGATAAGTGTAATTCTTCTATAATTCATTGCATAGGTTGGCGTAACCTAAATCATGTACTCTGCATTTTCCTACTTCGTCAGTAAACATTGATAAACATAGATAGCTATTAGATAAACAGATTACGCTATTATTTTTTTACAAATCAGCAGCGGGCGGAATCCTAGCCTTTCCTGCGATCTGATTGGCTGTAGCAGTGGGCGGGATTTTACGATATCTGACTACGGTCCGGAATCCTATATTTTACAACACTGTGAACTCCATATAGAATTGGAGCGAGAACCTTCATTATAAAAGTTCAGTTCTGTGAACTCTATAATGCATATATCTGAAGTAAGAACGTACTATTATAAAAGTTCAGTACTGTGAATTCTAAATAGTCTATAAATATATCTGGAGTGCGAAGATCTCAGTATAAATGCTCAGCACTGTGAACGCCATATATCTGGAGTATAAGAATGTCTCAGTATAAATCCTCAGCACTTTGACCTCCATATATATCTGGAGTAAGAGATC